AGGGGGGGCAGGAGGCCGACCGGATCACCTGATGCTGATCCTCAGTTGACTTGCACAGGACTGTCGTCCTAAACAGGGCCGATGAGATTTCAACATCATTGAGCAGGTTGACATGATTCTGTGAGAAATTTCATCGGGACGCTCGTGGGGGAATCATTGGACGCATCAACCATGCAGCCAAGTCAACCACCTCCTTCAGCTAGTTTGGCTGAGGCCTCGTTTTTGTTTGTTGTTTTCTTTCTTGGAAACCGGTGAACTTCTTCATGTCAATGTGAGCCGCCGCGCCAGCATGGCCAGCATGGCCCTGGCCGCCAGGCCCGCGCCCACCCTACGACAGAAGGCAGCAGCACTGAAGAAGTCCTTCGACATGCAGCTTCAAGGTGGGCGCCAATCAGTCGTTGTCCGAGTCGAGGGGGAAGCCTCGGTTTTGGCAGGGCGGGGGGCGGGGGGGCCCTAAAAAGCGCGATTCCAAATCCTTACCCCCTGGGGGCCACAAGACCGGTTTTTTTATTGTCAAGGTTTTGAAGTCTCTCAGATCCTGACCCGTCGCCTTCGTGGAGCTGAGGAATCCGGCAGCTGGCACCAGCAGGAGCGAGCATTGCGATGTGCGGCACGAAATTGCCAGACTTAGCTGCAGTCTGGTCGCAGGGCTTCTGATCAGGGCTCCACTTCTTGACTACTTTAAGAACTGACTTAAGCCGAGGGGTGAGTCGTGTACCCCAAAACAGGGAAGCCAAGGGTTTAAGTCTATTTGTAGGTAGTCCAAAAAATGGAACCAGCTGGTTCTGATCCGATGCTCTCATTTGCAGGCGTGCAGAGCAAGGAGCCGTGCGAAGAGCCCCAAGTGGGCGAGGCCCTGGCGATCGAAGCAGGCGCAGCGCATTGCATCGGAGATGCACTTGGGGGCATGTGTTTCTTTTTTAAATCATGGTACTCTTTGTTGTATGGGTTTAAAAGGGACCAAAAGGCAGTTTGATTGGCATCCACCAGGAAATGGATGCGGAACATCCAACCTGTAGAAATGACCCGCCGATCAAGCGGAGTTCCGATCTGGAGGCGGCTGCGATACCTTCATCACCGCCCATGAGGAGAGCGCAACACCGCCGCGGTGTTCGGCCCACTGGGCCTCGGCTGCGAGAAGGAACATGACACCAGGGGGAAATGAAAGCCTTCACTTGGCAAAACTCCGCGACACCAACCATTTGGAGGAGTCCCTGATTTTGGCCACATTCCGCACTAGCCAGCACGCCTTCCTCATTTCCCTTTACTATGCTCATGCCTTAGCTCCCATGGCATTAGTTGCGTATGCAACTTCTTTGAGCAGGAAGAGTTAATGGTTGGTGTATTGTAAACGCCGCGCGTTGCCCGCCTCGTGCTTTTGAACTGGCTTTGCTGTTTTTGGTGTGCCTTGAAGTGTTGTGTTTGAGTGCGAGCTGGTTCCAAAGATACATGATGCTGGGCTGGGGTTTCTAGAGGCAACTCGGTTGGGGCATTTGACGAAGGGAATGTGACCGATTTCTTTGGGGTGGATTCAAAGGAAAGCCGAAGGGACACAACTAGACCCTCCCTTTTGAAGGTGTTTTTCCACGCTTTTGGGAGGCCGCCCGAAAGCCCACAAGGCCCTCCCGCCCCTTTTTTTGACAGAAGCCACGTGCTTGTGCGAGGGGGCCACTGCCTTTGCGCCGCAGGAGCCCAGCATCGAGAACCTCCAGCTGGCACGGCCACGCCCGCAGGACGCCTTGGAGGAGGTGCGGCAGTTGGAGCGAAAACGATCGACCCAGCTGAAACAGCTCAAGATGAGGCCGAAGCTGCACATGATGCAGTGTGGTGAGTTTTTTTTTTGTTTTTTTTTCGGGCTGTTTAGAAATGTAGAACCCACTTTGAATTTGGGGGGGTTTCAAGGCTTAAAAGGGGCAGTTTCGAAACCGCAGGCGGAGCTGGCCCGAAGAGAGCTGGAGCTATGTGTACCTGACTTGGCGGGCTCTTGAACTATGCCGGGCCAAGTTGTTTGGAGGCCTTCCTGAACCATTTCACAAGGAGGAAGCGGAGGATTGCCGCCATAGTTGTGTTGTTCATCCCGAAATGAAGAGGTGAGATTCTTGATCTGCCGCTCTACCATATCCAGGAACCGTTCCTCGAATAGACTTCCCAAAATAGTTGGAGCAGGAAGGCTCATGAATGTGGTGACAGAAGAGCGAGTCAACCTTTGTTTGCATTTTGCGTTCACCGATGCGCGTGCTGTGTTCTTGGGGGATTGGAATTGTTTGCTGAGAAAGGTGTTGTCAAATGTTCTGCTTCTGCAACCGCCGACTGGCGTACCTGCCGTTGAGCAACCTACTACCCAAAAGAAATAGAGAGACACATGCAGGGTTGGCGGTCAAAACAAAGGGAAACAAAACAACCCATTGTTATTTTGCCTTTGTTTTGTGGGAACATCTTTTTTTAGGCAAGAACAGGGCAACCTTGTATGGCTGGTGGAGCGATGGGGTCTCAATCGGAAGCACTCCAAACGGCTTTTCTCATTTTTTTTGCCGGGGAGCCTCCAGGAGCTGAGCATCATTTTTTCGGAACCCTTCGTCAGGTTCCCTTCAACTGAAAGGGCGGTTCCCTGGGTTACCTGTACCGGTGAGTCATAATCAAAACCCGGTACTAAAATGGTCGACCCAGAACCATGTAAAGAATCAAGAAGGTGGCCGCAGCTATGAATGGTTGGAATTGTCCCTTACTAACCTTCATCTACCCAGGTTTTGATTTTTGCTTAGGTGAAGAGACTCGCCGGCTTGAGCATCCCAAACAGAGCGCTGCCTGAGGTAGACACCTTGAAGTCTTACTCGCGGGAGACCTCAGCGGAATCCCGGGAGTCGGAGCCCAAGGGCGCTCAGGAGCGGCTGTGGGTCAAAACCAATGGGATCCCATTTCGGGCTTGGTGGCTGGGTGCACCACTCAGTTTGGTCTATTTTAGTGGGGATTGGGATGTTCACTGGGGGTACGGGTTTTTGACCCATGGCCATCAACCCCCCTCCCCCCAAAAAGCAGAGGTGCGCATCTGAGTACGCAAATTGTCAGGGAGCTGGAAGACTATGATGCTTTGTCTCTGGCGGGTTTTTGTTTGTGCACTTGGTCTGCCGACTCTTGAGGGACACGAAGCAATGCTCTCACACTTTCAGGCGCGGTACGCTGCTTGAAAGCACAACAGCAACAGCATCCACCGCGATCCAGAATCTAATGCTCATCATTGAGAGGCAGGACGTGGTGACCATCGCACCGGATTGCGTTGAGAAGGGCGTTGGTCAGCGTGTAAGAAGGTTGTGAATGGCGCTTGGCGCCCCGTTTCAAAGAAACAATGCCAGTCCACCTCCCTTGAATTTGCGGATCTCAGGGGAAGCCTTCGCATGCTTTCGGGTATCGCTGTCATGTATTCGTTCCATGTAGAGTCTCCAAAGCTTGGAACCCCTGGATGTCGGTGGCTTCCTCTTTCTGAACAAGGGGCGCCCTTCCAGACATGACGGTTGCACCTCTTGTTCGCAGAGCCCCAGGGCTTGGAATGAGATTTGGGCGGCTGAGAGGGCGAGTGAAAACTCCGGCAGGCAGGCGGCTGAAGCCGCTGAAGCCGAGAAGCAGAAGGAAGAGCTGAGGGGAAGCGTCAAGGGCCTGGAGGAGGATGCGGAGGGCTTGCGCCGAATGGCCTGGGACCCCGGGAGCCTGGCAGAAATCCGAAGCGCATGCGCGTGGGGAGTTCGTTGGTTCAGCAGAAAGAATCGGGTTGGACAGCTGCGGTTCTGAGTCAGACGAACCGCAGGTGACACGTCTGAGGGCACCACTTTTGTCCAGGGCAGCCGGCTAAAAATCAGACTCAGTGGCAGACCAGCCGCTCCCAGGTGCAGCACATGCTCCGCGACGAGGCCGAGCTGCAGCGGCAGAAGGACGAGAAGATGGCCGAGGCGTGGTGGGGAGCCGAAAGGCGCTTTTGGGTGCTACCCCCTGGATTGGAAGAACCAATCTCTAATGAGGTGCTTGCCGACCAAGAACTGCTTCTTCTCAAGTGATGCTACCTTCAAAGAACCCACCTCTTCGTTTCTCAATGTTTTCACCCCCTTGCCTCAACCGCTCTCCACCCATTTTTTGCCACCCAACTCCCCAACCCGACCACAGGGAATCCCATCGTACCCTCCACCGTGCCACCTCCCCTGACTCCATCCCCCTCACCCCCCCTCACTCCCCCCCAAGTCCACCCCCGCCTCACCCCCCGCCCCAACCCCCCCGCGCCTCGCACGCGCGCCGGAGGTCTCCGAGGGGAAGCAGAGCCTCGCGGAGGCGGAGGCCCACGCCGAGGACCTGCGCGAGCAGCTGGAGGCGGCCCAGCGCCAGCTGCGGCTCCAGGAGGCGACCGAGCGAGCGAAACGAGCAAACGAAAAGAGGGGAGGTGGGGGGGGGCGGTGGGGGGCGGTGGGGGGGGCGCTTGAGGTTGGGGGGAGGGGGGTGGGGTGGGGGGTAAGTGGGGTGGGGTTGGGGGGAGGGGTTGGGGGGAGGGGGGTGGGGTGGTTTTGTTTTCTCCTGGGTGGGCGAAGCCAGGGATCTGCCAGAAATACCCCAGATTCATCAACTACAGATCGACTAACGCCCAAGAAACTGCTCACTTTCAAGTCCTTGGTTTTGGTTGGGCCCTCAAAAGCGAACCCACAAAAAGGAAGCCTTCCCAGATTGAAGTGAGAAGCGCATCAGATTGTGTGATGCCGAGAGTGTTGTGTTGGGTGGGAGATAACAGTCCCAACAAGAACTATTCTCGGAAGTCCGCACCTTGTACATCTTCAAACCGGGTTTTGGGGACTTCTTTGCTGGTGACCTGGTGACTTGCTGGTGACCTGGGGTTTGGATCGTTGCAAAAGCGTCGGACTTCGTGTGTGTGTGTGTGTGTGCGGAGTGGCAGAATACCCTGTCACCACAATTGAGCGCAGGGGCGTGTGGCACTCTCATCCTACCACACGCAATGAAGCTGTGGGCGAGAGTGGGAAGCAAGGCCTGATCAGCCTTGTGTACCTGCACCTTTTGAGTGATTCTGAAAGTCCTTTTTGGCCGCCTTTGTTCTTAGTCTTTCGGGTAACGTTTTCGCCTCTAGAGGGAAACCGAGTGCATTGCGAGCCGAAACTTATGCATGAAGAACCTTATCCAAGCCGAAACTTACCAGTTGTACTCGAACGATTAGCGCCCTCCATCTGGAGTTTAAGTGTGCACACCCCATTCGTGGGGAATCCTCGGGTGTACCCATCGTGTGACCCCGGGCCGGCTCTGTCGGAAAATTTGACCTCAACGTGCTTATCATAGACCAGTGGAATTTCACATTTAACCAGGAACGAGGTTTCACTAAAGGGAAGACAGCCACCTCTTCATAGCTACGTTTCACCCTCCCTCCTCGCCTTCGTCGTCCGCGTGTCCGTCGTCTTGCTCTTCGCCCGTTTAGGGATGGCTTCTCCTTCCTCCCGTTCCTTCTTCCGGCCTTCCGTCTTCCGCGTGTTGCTGTTCTTCCTCTTGGCCCGTTTAGGGATGGCTTCTTCTCTGCCGCGTTGCTTGCCTTTTTCGTCGTTGTCCTCTTCTTGTTTGCCTATTTGCTGGTGGTCCTTGGCCCCCTCGCGCTGTTTGGCTTGCCGTCTTCGTCCCCTACCGTTGCTTCATCGTGCTCTTCCTCTTGGCCCCTCTGCGGGATTCGTCGCCCTCTTCCTCGAGCATTGGCTTTGTCCTCGTGTTTCTCTGGGCGGGATGCGTCGCCTTAAATACGCACACTTTCTCTCTCTCTCTCTCTCTCTTTCTTTCTTTCTTTCTTTCTTTCTTTCTTTCTTTCTTTCTTTCTTTCTTTCTTTCTTTCTTTCCCTCTTTCCCTCCTTCTCCCCTTCTCTCGTTTCCTTCCCTTTTCTCCGGTTCCCTTCTCCTTCTCTCCTCCTCCTCTCTCTCCGTTTTTCCTTCTTCCCGGGCGGGATGCGGCGCCCTAAATACGCACCCTGCTCCTTTCTGTTCCCCCCGGGCGGTTGCGACGCCCTAAATACGCTTTCTCTCTCTCCCTCTCTCTCCCTTTCTCTCTCTCTCTCTCTCTCTCTCTCTCTCTCTTTCTTTCTTGCTTGCTTGCTTTCTTTCTTTCTTTCTTTCTTTCTTTCTTTCTTTCTTTCTTTCTTTCTTTCTTTCTTTCTTTCTTTCTCTCTTTCTCTCTTCCTTTCTTTCGTTTCCTCCCCCCCCCCTTTTTCCAACTACTTCCTGTTCTTCCTCTTCGCCCGTTTAGGGATGGCCTGGTCCTCTTCTCGGTCTTCAACTTTGCGGTGGTGGTCGTCTTCCAGGTTTAAGAGGTTTCTGGGCTGTTTGGGGTTTTTGCCCTCGGCGGTGACCCTAAAACTCGGGTTCCCCTGTTTTTCGTGTTTCTTGGTTGGGGTTTTGCCCGCGGAGACCCAACGTGAGGCTTTCTGTTTCTTTTGGGCGCTTGCTCCGTTTGTTTTCTGTTGGGGTCTTCGTCCGTCTTTCGGGCGCTTCTTCTTCCCCCCTGTTTCTCGCCCCTCTTTGAGGGGCATGTGTGTGCGGAGTGGCAGAATACCCTGTCACCACAATTGAGCGCAGGGGCGTGTGGCACTCTCATCCTACCACACGCAATGAAGCTGTGGGCGAGAGTGGGAAGCAAGGCCTGATCAGCCTTGTGTACCTGCACCTTTTGAGTGATTCTGAAAGTCCTTTTTGGCCGCCTTTGTTCTTAGTCTTTCGGGTAACGTTTTCGCCTCTAGAGGGAAACCGAGTGCACTGCGAGCCGAAACTTATGCATGAAGAACCTTATGCAAGCCGAAACTTACCAGTTGTACTCGAAAGATTAGCACCCTCCATCTGGAGTTTAAGTGTGTGTGTGTGTGTGTGTGTGTTTTTGGTACAATGCGTCGTGAGGGTAAAGGTGGGAATTGGAGGTAGTTCCAGCGTGTCGGTATGAAGCGCTTGATGTCCATGGCCTCATAGCCCACCCAAATCACTTGTCAGTTCCTGGAGTCCTGTCAATTTCAGCAGACCCCATTTGAGGTCCCTTTGCCACCCTGAAACTGGTATCCTCCAAAGAAGACGCGCCAAGTGAGGCCTTGGTTTCCATGGATAGCACGTCGCGTCAGGAGCTGCAGCGGACTGCCCAGGAGAAGCTGCGCAGGGGGCCTGGAGGTTTCGAGAGGTGGAGGAAGGCTCAGTGTGAGGTTTTGTCCACAAGTGGCTGTGGGTCAAAACCGTTTTGGTACCATTTCGGGGTGGGTGCACCACCCATTTTAGTCTATTTTAGTGGGGATTGGGATGTTCACTGGGGGTACAGGTTTTTGACCCATGGCCAAGTGAGCAAGTTTTTTGTTTGGTACAATTGCTCGGTGTGTTGCGTGTGTCTTCCTCGTTTGCTTGAAGAGAGTTCTTTTGGATGTCCAGTTTGTGACACAGAGCAGGAGGCTTGCATCACTTGAAGCCAGCGCAAGGTGGTTGCATAAGTGATTCTTCTTCCCGTGGTTTGAAGATCTCATCTAAAGTGGGAGACAGCTGTCGGGGTTGGGGGTTGCTAATGTAGGCGTGTAGAGAGCGATAAAGGCCAGATGCAGAGTCGCTTTGTTTTTTGATGCTGGAAACTCATGAGGCACGCTTGAGAAGGGACGGGGAGGCCAGCCGGAGTTGAATAATGTACCTACCGTGAAGGCTCAATTCCGCCGCACGACCAGAGAGCTTGAGGTGACGGCTCCACCTCGCCAATGATGGCCTTCTCCACCTTTGTGCTGGGACCAGACCAGGCCGATGTTCTTTTTCTTTTTTCCCTCCCCCCGCGCTCTGATCGGTCAGTGGCACCACCCTTTCTGCATCGACTTCGGTGCCTGACCTCCTCGCGAGTGCCCCCCCCATCCGATGGACAGGTGCCCTCAGCGTCCACAAAGTCCATCAGCGGCGAGGCGCTGAAGCCAAAGTTGGAGAGCAGGCGGGAGACGGCAGATTCTTGGCGCTGCTTCCTTGAAGTGCTGAACTCAGATGGATGGCGTGAAGGGGCCATCCTTGGGTTCCCTAAGTTGGCACAACGTGACTCTGAGGGCTTTTGAGTTTCTCGGCAGGACAGAGAAGTCAATGGTGTAGGAGCCTCAGTGCCGGAGTCTTCATCCGGCGCCAAAGTGTTTCATCCAAAAGGTCCCACTTTGGGCGCCGGCAATTGGGACCCCTTCCGATGCATTCGCGGGGAGCTCGCTCCGAGGAGTGCCCCGGCCTCCACCCGGAACTCCGTCTCCACTTCAGGCCTTGGCTGCTGAAACGGCCCAAATCCGCGCCCAAAACGCCCCGTGGCGCCACACCATGGCACGGCGGTGGTTCGAAGCGGGGCGACGCAGGTCTGCACATTCCGCCCGGCCTTCCTCCCCGAGCACGTGCGCCGAAGCCTCAGCGCCCGGACATGCGGCGAACATGCTTGAAGGATGCAATTTTCCAGGCCAGGATGGGGAAGGACTGGTTCCTTAGGGAAGGATGGGCATTTTTGCACGAGGGGAAACAATTTCCAGCCTTTCGGAGCCATTGGCTATGGCCAGTGAGTAGCGTCGCCACTACATGTGCAAAGGAGCAATGTGTGCGCTCAGTTTCCATGGGGGCTGATGGATATCCTTCTTCTTTGCCTTTGCGTGCCAAGGAGCAGTCAGTCCTGGTCAAGGTGGCGTGCTTTCACATGCAGCACTTAGAGCAGTGCTTGAAGGTTTTGTTTCACAGGGTCATGACAATCGCAGCACGACTTGGCTTGCATCCTGTTGTGTGCTGCCTGATGCATCATTGTCCAAACCAAAGAGAAGCACAGACATGCACGCACAAGCTAAATCAAGCAGATTGGCATATTGAGCTTCAATCCGGGCTGCAGCAACAGCTTTTTCCGTGTGTCATTCGGATGGGCCGGGATTACTTGACCAGGAGTTAGGGTGTTTTTCCTACAGGTTTCTGTCCCAAGTCCGAGCATCGAGCATGCTGTTGCCAGTTTTTGAGAAGCACAGGAAAAGATCGATTCCTGGTGCGAAATTCCGCAGCGCGATGAAGTGCTTCGTGTGTGGAGGCGACCAGGTGAAGTACCGCTTCCCCTGCTGCCGCGAGCGGTACTGCTTCTTCACTGTTCTTGGATCAAGTTGTTTTTGTTTTCGTTCCGTTCATTTTTGTTTCATTCATTTTTTGTGTTTTGTTTTCAGCTTTGTTTCTTTTTGGTTCTGTTCATTTTTAGTGGGCCCAGTTTTTCTTTTCGTGGGCCGCAAAGAACAACCAGTTTTTCTAGTGCTACCTTCCCCATTCTTTCCAGGGATCCTTCTTTCTAAAAAGGGAAGCGGCCGGTTGTCGAGAAGAACGACGGTTGGAAAGAATGGACAAGGAATCAACCCCTAGAAGAGCTGGGGGAAATCGGGGATCCACGAAACTCCGACCAGGGGAACCCTGTTGGCTTAAGGAAGTCAGAATCCAAAGGGAGTCCCTACAAGGAATCAACCAATAGAGTTTTTTGCTTTTCTTAGTCAGTGTTTTTTTGGTTCTGTTCATTTTTAGTGGGCCGCAAAAAGCAAATTGTTTGCACGCCTATGCGGTTTGGGTGGAGGCTCCCTGCCCTGCTACCGCGTGCACGCGGCCGGGCAGTGCCCGGCGAGGCCGGAGGCGGAGCCGAGCGCCAAGCGCCCGCGCAGGGAGGAGCTTCGGAGGGTTTTTTAGGCGTCCGAAATAGTTGGGTTTGTCTTGTTTTTTTCCTTTCAGGGGACCCCCTGTCCCTTCAAATGGCTGTTTTCTCCCGTTGGTTTGCCCATAAAACCACAAAGAAAGCCGTTTATTTTGGGCGTGCGACATATTTGGGTTTTTGACGCTTTTTTGACGGGTCCCCCAAAAACCTGGCGGTCTGTTTTAGGGGACCTCCCGAAACTGGCTGTCCTTGTCTGAGGGGACCCCCCCTCCCAAGAAGAGCAAGGCGTTTTTTTGGGGGACCCCCCCCCCAAACTGGCTGTTCTCCTTTGGTTGCCCTTTAAAACCGCAAGACGGCGTACCCTCCAAAAGACACACCCATTACCTCGACGTGTTTGATCAGTTTGTTTGACGTATCTGGCCTAATTTGGGTTCTGTTGCAACTTGACAACCGAAGGGGGGGTCTGTTGATTTTGATGCTTGGCATATTTGGTCTAGTTGCTTTTTCATTTTTCTGGCGTATTTGGTTTTAAAGGGAAACCAAAGGACACCAGCTTCTTCTTTTTTCTTGGGGGGGGGTCCCCCAAAAAACCCAGCCAATTTTGGGGGGTTGACCGCCGAAGGGTCCTCCGCCCAGGAGGAGCCGGAGGATTTGATCAGCGAGGTGCGGCTCTGCGCGCTGCGGGGCCACCTTGGGGTGAGGTCCGCGCTGCAGAGCGAGGCCTTTCAGGACCGGCCGATAGTCGGCTGGGGCTCAGAAAGCGGTACCCAAACTGGCACCTGGGTTTTATGGAATAAAGACGAAAGCAAACAACTTGCGCAACCCCCGCTGGATAGTTTTGAGCCACAAGTGGATGCCCTCGTTCCGTATGACTCAGGGAGAGTTTTGGCACTGGAAATGACAAAATAACAACGTTTTCCACATGGGTTTGCTGCAAAATAACCTGGAACGCAAGGGGTCCATTCTATTTTTCCCCAACAACTGAAAGGGCTGGGGTCGCAGCCAGATAGGCTTTGGGGTTCCAGGGCGGCTCTGAGGAAAGGTTCTGGGTTCCGCGAGGGTTCTGCGAGGGTTCCGCGGGGGTTCAGCAAGGGCTCTGGGGCGGTTCTGAGAAGGGTCCCGCGGGGGTGAATAGGACCGAGCCGTTGCGAGGGTGTGGTGCTGTTGGGGATATCACCTGAGCTTGTGTTTTTTTGTTGGCTCGATATCAATCTGGGCAGTAGTTGTCCGACCCTTTGGAAGCCCACAGGCGCCATGTTGCTGGGATGAAGTGCAGCGATGGAGTGTTTACAAGTCAGATGAAAGTGCATGTGTATATTGTTCTCACGCGCAATCTTAGTATGTGTATACATCTATACACATTGGCATGGCAGGCACACAATTTATGTTTTCTTTTTATTGTAGCGCTATTTTGCAAAATATTCACACAATGCATGTGTGCACTACGTGTAGCCGTGAATAACGCCAACTCTCAGGGTGCTTGTTGGGTGCTCTTGTTGGGTTGTTTCGAAGGGAGCCAAAGGAGAACCACCGATGTCGGGGTGTGCTTACCTGTTGGTTGGGATTTCCAGTTTAAGAGGCTCCGTTTCAGGAGCTCTTTCTCTCCCCCATTTATTTCTCGCTGGAGGACGCTCTGATCGCGCTGGACGACGCTCGGGACCGGCGGCAAGCACTGGAGACGCTGATGGAGAAGGAGCCAGGTTCAACGACCGAGGTTGGGGGAGGGGATAGATTATCAGATGGTATTTCACTTTGGTGGATGGTTCAGAAAGAAAGCCAAGACAAACTCAGCACAAACATGAGGCTGCTTGGCTTTTGGACTCCCCCAACGTGCCCATGGAAGGGATCCTTGAAGCCACGAGATGGACTCGTTGAAATGGCCACTTGGCTGAGGACAAGTATTTCATGAAGTTCGTGGGTGACCTGATGGAGGCGATTGACTACTTCCCCAAGGAGGGCTTCAGATAGCCGAGCTAGGAGCTCCCCCCGCCAGATCGGAGGCTTCCAATCGAGCGCGACCACGGCAGGCGGCTTGACGCTTGCGAGCAAAAAGCCCGGGGGTTGTGTCGCATGCGCTTGAGGAAGGACAGAGCGAGGTGCGCCCTTCCGAATCTACGACTTTTGGCAAACCAAGCCAACTCGATAGCAGAAGCGCAAAGGCACGTCTTCAGCGTGGTACGTAAGGCGTTACTAACCATGGCTAACTCAGTTGGTCAAAGGACCCAGAATTCAAAGGAGCCAGCTCGATAGTTCCTCCGAGTCCGAGCTGGCCGCCTTCGCACCTGTGCCAGGAGCGCCACTCCGGAGCTACCGGAGCCCAGGGCTGGGCCCTTGGGCGGTTTAAACGGGTCGTGCAAGGGGCCTGGTGGGGGTTTTCAGCGGGGCTTGGCGTGTCAACCTACGGCGACCAAAGCTGTAGTGTTCCGAGTTTCGCGGATCGCCGAAGCGATTTTGAAGGAGATTTCGTGAACGTGCACCGCGCACCGCGCCGGGAGAACGAAAGGTTACGAGTGGGAGAGCAGAAAAGTTGAAGCTCGCAGCATTTTGCACGCCGGTGTTGCCCAAAGCGCCAACTTGTGGGGCCTCTTGGGAACCTGTTGGAACCTCCGGGAAAAGAACAGGGAAGCCAGGCAATGTGCGCCATTTGTCCTCTGGGCCTGGTGTTGGTGGATCCTGGCAGCTGGTCCCGTGGTGTAGCGGCTAGCACCCTGGAGCGGGCGGATCAAGTCCGCGCGCGACATTCATAAACTCTTTCCACACGCGCCGGGGGATGCAACCAGATGCGTTCTTGCAAAAAAGCAGGCTGGGCCAAGCATCTGGTTGGGGTGGGTGTGCAGGGGGAATGAGGGAACTTTGGTGTCAACAAGCAGTGAGCGCATCAGCGCATCACAGCCAAACAGGTACCAAGTGTATATGGCTCACCGAAGAGCATTGAAACCCAAGTCGAAACACCCAAAGGCGGCGGTACCAACTTTTTGTTGCCCTTGGCACACGACTCCCAGGCCAGCTCTTGCCCCAGCGATGACAAGGAGATTGCCTGCTGAGAGGGATATTGTGTCCACACCTAGACTGCCTGGCAGTAAAAACGGCTAGTTTTACAGAGATCCGCTGGATTTATCCAATGCTACCAGCGGGGGCAAGATGCGCGGTCCAGTCCCATACTGCACTTTTCGTGCAAGGACCCAGCTGGCTCCGAGACGAGGACACAGGCGCCCTGAACAGTTCACTGGGAGCGCTTCCGCTTGGGAACCCGTGTTTTGCCCGACATGAAGCACTCATTTGACTCATTTGATTGCCAGTCCAATGTTGGCTTTCTTTCCTTGCACCCCAAAGCGGGCTCCGCCAAGTGGTACGTGTCAGCCTGCTTTGACATGACGCACATGTCATGTGGAAGAATATGCAATCACTTCACATTTGTCCCTTGCCGTAAAATGCGCGTGTGTGAAATCGGGTGACTTTGCTAGCAGTTACATTGGCTTGCATGTCCCTTGCCCTGCCAGAAAACGCAAAAGCGGCCACAGCCAGAAGAGGACCTGCGAGAGAGACAGGTGCCGTGGATTCCATATCTGCGGTTCTCCAAGAGGTAGCTCTAATGAAGTCCCTCATTTTTTTGCCTTGGTGATGGGTTGCTTTGTTTTGATACGCATCCCGTTGATTTGGCGGCTGCAGCTGCCTTGGATGGTGAGTTTCCGCCCTGTGTATCCTTCCGAAGGTGGTCCATTTGTTTATTGGACATCAACAGCGGGCCCCAAATCTACCTTCTTCTCTTTTTTCTTTCTCGGACCTCCAAAAGTGAATTGCAACCTGTGAAAGGGAAATTCGGTGACTCGTGCGACCGCTGACCGCTTGGCGATCTAGACTGCCAAGAGCGCGCCACGTTCGCAGGAGAGCTCAGACTCGGACCAGGAGCCCCGTAGGCATGGGTCGTTTTCAACTCGCCGGATTGAGTGCACCTCATGGGGGGCGCTTGGGTTCCCAAATTTAGCATGTCTTTGGTATGGTCATCTGATCCTAAGCAGAAATCAGGTTGAACCCAGCCCCAAAGGTAAAGGTTCTGGAACGCGATTGCTGGAGGGCCCCCCTTTAGCCAAACTACACCAGCCCCCTTTGCTCCTTTCCTTCCTAGACCATGTCTGGCCAGGAAGGTCATAATAATGCTATGACAACTCGAGGTCACAAGCCTTGAAGGGGAGGGGTTATCAAACATTGATTCTGCAAGCAACATGTGGTATGAGGAATTTGGGAACGGCCATGTTTGGGACAATGAGCTTTGGCGAGTACAACATGAGCCGTTCTTTTTGCTCTGTGAGTCTCAGCGGGGAGGGACATCTTTTGATCGGGTGGCCGGTGCTAAACTGCTTTTGCGACCAAAGCTTGCAGGCCCCTTCAACGTAGTCGCTGGCTCGCAGTCGGTTGGGAGTTTTCGGTGTTTTTTTGCTAAAGGGGGATTCATTAAAGGGGTGTGTTCGGTGTATCCTATTAGCATGGTCCAAGCCCAATTTCTATAGTCCCCTGCCCAGAGGGGTGACACGATCGCTTCTAGGCTGCTGGGGCTTCGTTGGACATGAACAATGATTTTGGTGGCCTGTCTTTGAGAGTCATGAGTCTGTTTCTGGCTGTGGCAGAGGACCTGAGGAGACAGGTGCGACACAATCAAAACCCAGGTAGATTCAGGTTACTGCACCAATTTGAAACCATGGGAAGCCATTGTTCGTTGGCATTTACAGGGGAATCATCCTTCCAGGGTTTCTCCGCCTTTCAATTTCCTTGCATCAATTTGGGTAGCCCATTTTAATTCACCGATTGGTTTTGATGGCGACTCAGTGAAGCCAGGCCCTCCCCCCTGGCCGCGCAGTTCCCTGGGCTGGTGCCCTACCTGGACCTCGCGAAGGCGATTTGTTCGCGGCGCTGGGCGAAGCGCGGGGATTTTGGGGCCTCCAAAGGGGTCTGGGCTGTATGGGCTGTATGGGCTGTATAGGCTGTATGGGCTGTATGGGCTGTGTCTTTTTGCAAGACCCTCTTGTTGGTTGGCTTGAAAGGGAAACCAGCGGAGCAAGCCACAAAAAATCCTTGAGGGGCCCTTCATTTGCAGGCAACCCCCCTTTGATGCCTGGGAATCAGGGGCACCGGGTCGCCAGGATGCCGAGACGGACAAGATCAAGGCGGGGAGGCCTTCAAATTTCGTTGAGGCTCAGGACAAAAGGACCACAGGGGGTCAAATGTGTGCAGAACCTGGCCCCCACGTTGTTTTCCTTCGGGCGTCGTTTCGAAAATGCGGAAATTCAAGCGGTGTTTTTTGAGTGACAGCCCAAATGGTTGAATTCAACGAGCCTCTAAGGCGCAGACCACCAAGCAGAACTTCGAACACATCGAGAAGCACATGGTGCTGCTGCAGGTGCCATTGCAGGGGCTATGAGCCATGGATGCGCAGAGATCGACCGGGATCCAAAGAGAGAAGTTTGAAGGGGGCTGACCCATATTTCTGGCCCCCAAATGACCATGCGTAACTTCCTGGCCCCCAAAAGTGACCATGGGGAGCTTTTCCTATTTGGGAAATACCACCCCCATGTCATCGCAATCGCAGGAAGAGAGGCAGAAGCACATGGAGCAGAACAAGCTGCTGCAGCAGGCCGTGGATGCGTGCTGGGCTCAAAGCGTCAGGTTGTCTGACGGGCGGCGTGTGCCATCAGTCCCTTCGTTGGTTCATGGCAACCCCCAGCAAGCCTTTCATGACGCTATGTGGGTGTGGGTCAGAATTAGACCATGGGGGGACCGCAGGTTTTAGTCCATAGTTCCATGTACCAGGGTTCCATTTTGGGGTTACCCTATTTTTGACCCACAGCCATGTGTATACTCACCACGTGTTGCAACCACTCGTTCAAACTTTCAACTCCTCTATCCGTTCTGAGCTGGAAGTGTCCCAAGGACCTTGGAGCGGCTCCTGGTGTGGGTCCAGGCGGGGGCTTGGCCGAATTGGAGTTCGGCAGCTTTGACCGCCATTGGGTTTGTGTCACTTGCCCCAAAATGGTCAGACCCTCGAAAGACAAATCCACCAGTTGTCGTCCCCGAATATGGATGGACCAATTCGGACGTCGATTGTTTTCAGGGCCCCCGGAAAAACTTCTTGCATTGTTTCCGGAAGCCAAAAGGGGGCCCTGTCAGATATTGTTGCTGGACTCCCCCGATTTCCGTGCTGGTGCTCAGCAGAGAATGCGGGAAACCCTTATAAACCATCCAACTGGTGGCTTCCTAAGGAATCCCAAAACGCCTCATCCCATTTCTAATTCCCTGCAGCTCTCGCACCGATCGCACGTTTCCCCCGGTTCGCGTGGGATTTTTTTGCATTGTTTCATGGTGGGCAGGCCAGGTGAACAATAATTCCTTGTGCAAGCATGGCAACTCACCGCAGAAATCGGGCTGCAAGCCTTCTTTTTGATGGCAGTCTCCTCCAGTTGCGTGGCCATTCCTTTGCAGCCATGCTTGAAGGCATTCCTTGCATCTGAGTGCAATTCGCAGCTTGAGGTGGCTGCCCTTGGAACGAAGTTAGCCTTGCACGGCATCGGCAGTTTGCGGGTCTTTGCCTTTGGGTTTGCCCGAGAAGAAGTCGTTGCTATTGACATCACTCTCGGCTGCCTGCATGACATTGCGGAAGCACGCCTGTCCCGAGATGCTGCCCGTGCTGGGCGCTTGCTGGCAGAAAGCCCTGGCGCCTTGCAGCTTCAGGTGGCACGAAAGCAGTGCGGTGAAATGCCGCTGCCACAGCCGCTAGTGGCGCAAGCTGTGCCGGCAACAGTGCAATCCCTTCCCGCGCGGACTCCGCTGATCTTGGATGGCAACAAGAGAGATTGCGTGAGGGCGACAGATAGTGCCGCAAGACTAGTCAGCATTTTCCTTCAGGTGAACCAAGCTTCGACCCTGTGGCCCACTTATCGAGCCTTACCTTCGCACCAGCTGCAAAACCAGTGGCTGTCAGCTTTGCAAGGGCACCTGGCAGACTTCGATTACAGGGGCCTTCAGCAAGTGTGCAGCGCCTGGGAGAAATGGTGCAAATGGTGCAGCGCACACGGCTCATCGATGGCAGCCCCAAATTCGATCGAAATGAGCGCCTTTGTCCGTGAAACTGCAAAGACTAGGGCTGGAGCGGTTGCTTTGCGAAGCAGATTGCGCTTCCTTGAGAACCACTTGGGGCTGAAACTTTGCGTGACAGACGTGGCCGTGCAGCGGGTTTTGCACGACCAAGCTGCGCCTCCCAAGGAGATTGTGGTTCTTACCCCAAGGGATGTCCTTGCAATCTGGTGCTGGGCAAACTCCAAGAACAAGTTGGTTGCCTTTTTCGCCAAGTTCTGCTTGATCATGGCTCTCGGCAGCGTCAGATTTCGACACGCGCAACGCTCTGTCTTTGTTGAAATGACAGAGCAGGGCGCTGTCTTTGAAGCTCGTCGAGGAAAGACCCGCCAAGGAGGCTTCGCAGCCCCTCCGTTCAAATGGTACGTTGCCAAGTTCAATTTTTGCTTGAAGAAGGTGGATATTCTTGCTACCTTCATCAAAGACTGGCAAGCTGTGGCAGGCTCTTGTTCGTACCTCATGCCTGGCATCAAAGGAACTACAGTGTTTCAGGCCACAGAGTGGCTAGGCAGAGACATGACCGCAGGGCAATTTTGCACCTTCCTCAACGACCTTGTCAGCAACTCTCCAGTGAAGAGTTGGCCAGCCAGGCAGGGCGCTTCTGTGGGAGCGCGCGCGTGCCGGCGGGTCATGCCAACTGTGGCTCATGCCACACGTATGGAGTTACCCGAGCGGTATGCTCTGGGCAATTGGACGGCGCCTGAAGGAGCCGGACGTGGTGGCGACGCTGTCATGCCTTTGCGCTATGCTGCCAACAAGGCCGAAGCTGCCTTTCGCGCTAAAACTCAATGCTCCAAAAAGGTTGCAGCCTTGAGTTTTCTGGCGGCAGACAAACCAACAGAACCAGCAGAGGCGGGGAAGTTGTTGTCTGCAAGCTGGGCTGTCCTGTGCGGACGCAAGCGGAAGGCTGCCCGGAGCAGGAGCAGAGGCGCCAGCAGCAGCAGCAGCAGTAGTAGTAGTAGTAGCAGCAGCTCTTCTGAAGCTAGCCGGTCAAGGTCGGCAAGTCCGTCAGCGCAGGTGAATTGGCTGTGCTCAAGCAACAACAGACTGCACCGGCGCTCTGGCCCTTCTTCCACACGATGCGGCCTGGTGTGCAACGGCGCGCAGGTGGGTAGTGGAAGGCGAAGCGCTTGTCAGCGCTTTCCGACTGCAAAGTGGTGTCGCAAGTGCGCTCTAGACTTGGCGCTCCGAAGTGGGGCTGAGCCTTGAATTTTTTCCCCCTGCGCTACTTCGGCCATTGTTCGCACTGGCCTTCTGGCATAGCACATGCTCTGCCTGTGTATCGCACGAAAAATTCGCCACGAAGAAGAAACAAGGTACGCGTTACTTGTGGGCGGGACTGGGCGGGCTGGTGTCCACTCGAAGTGGCCCATCCTTCCTATTCTCTGACTCACTACACCACACAGGTTGTTCGATGACAGAGTTGCCCTTGTGTTGAGAACGGACAGGCTCAGAAGGGTCGTTTGCACGCATGAGTAAACAGCCTTGTGTCTGCGCCAGTCCCACCGCAGTTTTGCAACTCTCGAGTAAACCTTGGGGATGCAATGGACCCCGAGTTCGAAGCAGAGTTGAAAGGTGAAGGCATCCCAGATGACCTCATCGCATGGATGGCAACGCATTGCAAGACCCCAGCGCGCTTTGCTTTCTATGTGGATTCCAAGGAAGAGATTCAGACCCTCATAGTGGACCAGGTCGCCTCGACCCGGAACAACAGAACAGTCAGAGCAGCCCTGGTGGAACTGTGGCGGAAGCACTCAGCTGCCCAAGAGCGCAGACTGAGTCGAGCTGCTGCAGGAATAGGCGACCAAGACTGGGAAGACCCGCTTGAAGGCTTTGTGCGGGACCGACTGTACGCCGCTTTCGCTGCGTACTACCACTTCAGGCTCCGACCCACTGCCTCACTGTGCGACAACTTGTTGGCGCGATTTAAGCGTGAGCTGGATCGCAAACAGTTCACGGTGGTCTCCATGTCTCGGGTCCGGTCTCAGGCCTGCGCCGGACTGCATCGGGCAAAGCGGTTGAAGGTGTCTGACACGGTGTCTATGGACATTGCTGCAGCAGATGACGACTCCTCCGACTTGCAAGGCGTGTTCGACTACATCGATCGTCTCCAACTTGTGATGACAGGGTGGGCAGTGGTCGGCTGCTTTGAAGTCCGGGATGGCAGCGGTTCTCTCCGCGCCGCTCGCTGGCTGCCCTGGGACTTGGCTTGCGAGTATGTGGACAGGGCTAAGCGCAAGCTTCTCCTGCCTGGTGGGAAAATGGTTGACTTGGCAACTCTCCAGAAAGCGGACGAATCCACCCGCGAGATGTGGGTTGACCTCATGCGGAACAATGACCTCACAATGGGCCAGGCCGTTGAGAAGTGCTTTGTGGACGCGTCCCCCTTCTGGCTTTTTGCGGGCGCGGAAGTGGCGCCGGCAGTTGCAGCCAGGAGCGGGGCTAGCCAGACAGCAGAAAGAGGTCGGCAGGGGTCTAACGAAGTCATTCTGGTCAAGGACAAGGACAAACGGCAGGCGCGACCAGCCAGGATCGCCGACCAGACCTCGCGCGGCAAGTCGATCTGCGCCTTGTGGAATGAGGGAAAATGCCAGGCCAAGTGTCCAGACAACAAGTTGCACGTGTGCAACTTTTTGTTGCAGAATGGACACGTGTGCGCGGCCGCTGCCCATAGGCGCAGCGAGGCCCACTAGGAACAACTCCCCCAAACCCCGCCTGGCAAAGCGGGGCTGGGGGTCTCCAGTGATTATTGCCAAAACTTTTCACATGCGCAAGCGCCTTTGTGCGAAAACAGACCGTTTGTGCACCCGGAACCTTTCCAGAGCCTTCAGTGTCAGGCCCCCTTGGACAGGTCGACAAACCGGTTGCAGGAACAATCTTGTGCCTTCCTTGGCCCAGCGGGCAGCGGATTGCCACAGCCGCAGGAGCTCGCGTGCACGGCTCAAGCCCGCGCGCCTTTTCCAGCGCCTGTGTCAGCTGTTTCGGGAGCAAGCAGCGCCTTGCTGCGGATACTGGGTCTCGATAGCAGTCCGAGAGTTGACAGCCTTGTTGTTCTTAGCGTTGAGGACAACGTTGGGGGCACATGGGCTGCTTTGGAAACCGCAGGATGCCCAGTAGCGCTTGGCCTAAGTTCTGAGACATGCCCCGAGTCCCTGCAAGTTTTGGAAAAGCGTTTTCCCTCAGTGAAGCAGCTAGGCCCCATCGAGGCTATCCACTTGCCACGCCTTCGTGCTGAAACTGCCCGTGTTCGGAGTTGCACCTTTTTGCTTGTTGGGGGAACCTCTGGCAAGCAGTTTCCCGATGCCAGCCAGGGAAGCTGCGTCCTCACCCCGTATGACAAAACTTGTCGCCTGTTTTTCCAATTCAAGCGAGTGTTGCAAGCCTGCCACAACTTGTGCGCTGAGAGCGAATGGAAGTTCCTGTGGTTGTACCAGTGCGTGCCTTCCGTGGGTGCGAGCGTCGTTAGGCAGATTTCAACACACTTGGCCACATGCGTCCCAACGTGTTCTAAGCCTCTCCGAGTGAATGCAGCTGAGCTTGGCTGGGTAAAACGCGACCGTGTGTACTGGTGCAGCCATGACCTTTCTTCCTTGCTTTGCGGCATGCTTGCGCCAACGTTGAATGGAGCAAGTGATGAGTTGATGGTGCCGGCGCCCTTACGCCCCCTGCAGGCGTTGGTTGCAGTGTTCCGAGGTGAGTTCCAGCCAAGCCGCTTGCAGCAGTCTGCCTCCCACCGTTACCCTGAAGGGCGGTTTGAAGCATTCACATGCCCCGGCGGGCATGGGCGCCAAGGTAACGCGCGGTTGGCTTCCGCGGACGCAGTTGCCCGTCAAAGGGTGCATGGTTGGTACCATTGCCAGCATTACGAAGCCCCCAATCTGCTTTGGCACAGGAGCACGCAAGACTGGGAGCCGTTGCTTGCAGAGCACCGCGAAGTGCTTCTAGGTTACAACAGCGGGCACACGCACGTGGGCTCTTTGAAAGGAGACGCGAAGGCACGGTGTCACCTGCTTGCAAAGGCTTTCCATGTGCCGTCTCTTGCACTCCTTCTGTTGGGCATGTTGCAAGCTGCCACCAGCTGCCACATTGCAGAAAGCCTTGAATATCCAATTGATCCTGATGTTGCCAACTATTGCACAAAACTCCCGGGCCCTATGCAACAGGCTGTGCACCCCTTCCGCTCGCTTCTCGCCGGCCCAAGGCACCCGTTGCACGTGTATTGGCATGAGTCTCTGAGGAGCGGCGCAGGCTTCGACCCTGCGCCGGATCTGTCCGAGCATGATCTCCGTGGTTTGGGTGCCTTGGCGGCGGGGCAGCAAAGAGGTGGGGAAGCTCATAAGCACGGGTTGCCACGCCTCATTCCGTGGGGTTTCTCGGCAGAGGAGCACTTGTCGCAGGCTTTGAAGCACGTCAGGGCCCATGGTCACCCATTTGCCACGTCACCTGTCCTGGCCCGTGACACTCGTGTGGCCGTTGAGTACGCGTGCCAATGGGGTGCGGATCTGGCGCAGTGGAGACGCGATGTGTTGAAGCAAGTGACACGGGTGGCCAAGTCGTTGGAGCCTCTTTCCAGAGAACTGCGCAAGCTTATGTCTGCTCGCGTGCAGCGCGTTGCGGGGGGCTTTAACCTGGGTTTCTTGTTGTGGCTGCAGTGCGTTCTGGCATGGCCAGATGTCACTTTCACTTGGCGGATAATTGTAGGTTTTGATATTGTCGGAGACGTGGAAGTAAGCAACGTCCTCCGACCTACAGAGCCTTCCCAGCCTGCCCAACCTTTGGAAGAGCTGTTGCGCTCCAGCAAGACGTACGTTGACAGCTTGTGCGCCTCCTTGCGTCCGCACCAGTCTCCAGACATGGACAAAGAGCTTTTGCGACTCACGCAAAAAGATATTGACAAGGGTGCAGGGGAAGGTCTGTTCCTCCGATCCGACATGGATGCCAGGTTCGGGGCGGGCGCGTGGCGTCCCCTCCCACGGCATGTCATTCAGCAAGAGCACAACAACAAATGTCGCGCCATCGACAATGGCAAAGCATCGGGCCACAACGATGCTACCATCACCAGGGAGCGCGTGCACACTACATCGCTTGAGTTCTTTGCGTCAGCAAGCAAAGCCTTTCTGTCTCACAAGCAGTGGCTGCAGCAGGAGGCTACTCGTGCAGGCGTAAGTTTGGTGCTGGAAATTGGAGTTGATGACGAAGAGGACGCATATCGCAAGTATGCCACCTCCGACCGACAGCAGCACTGGTCAGTCGTCGCCTTGTATCATCATGTTTGGCGTACCGTTGCCTTTATGCCGCTGGTTGGGCATGCCTTTGGCTTGAAATCCAGCGTCAATAACTACAATCGTGCGCCGGGGTTGTTAGTGGCTGCGTTGACAAGGTTGCTTGCTGTGTGCGTAACGCATTACTATGATGATTTTGCTGTCATGGACACATGCTTGGGAAAGGGCACGGCGCGTGTTGTGCTCTTGCAACTCGCCGACTTGTGCGGAGTCACCTTTGGCCAAGACAAGGGGCAACCGATGTGCCCACGGGCCACGTACATTGGGTGCTCAGTGGATGTGAGTCGAGTGTTCAGCCACGGCTTGCTTAAGTTGGACTGCAAGGAAGGCAGGCGAGAGAAGCTATTGGCCATGACTGCTGCTGTGGAGCGCCAGGGCTACTTGGACCCGGCCGTGGCCGGAAAACTTAGGGCAAAAGCTCATTATGCTGGGTCTACGTTGACCGGCCGGTGCCTCCGGGGTTGCGAGAACGCGTTAGCAGCAGTCCAGCATGGCCGCCTTCCAGCCCAAGTTGCGTCCCCTGTCAGTGAGGCTTTGCAGTTTCTCAGGCACGCCATGCTTTGCTTGCCTGGTCGAGAAGTGAATTTGGCACCCCGTTTTGAGGATTGCGTCTTAGTCTACACGGATGCCATGTGGGAACCGCCAAAGCCGGCTGGAATGGCCTTTGTTGCTTTCTGTTTCAAATGGCCAGCTCCCAAATGTGCTTATTTGAGCGTACCGGATGCTTATCTTCGTTTGCTACTGCCTAGAAAGACTCAAATCAACCAAGCTGAAGCCTTGGCAGTTGCCTTGGTGCCAACAGCCTTGGGCGATGCACTTCATGGTTGTGACTTGCTGCATTTCATTGACAATCAAGGTGCCCTGTCAGCACTTATCAAGGGGTACTCGCCTAAGGAAGATTGTTCGGCCATTTGCTGCATGATCCACTTGCTGCACGCAGAATTGCAAACACGTGCTTTCTTCGAGCATGTGGAGAGCGCAGCAAATCTCAGTGATGCCATGTCGCGTGAAGGGTTGGCAGCCGCAAAAGATTCCTGGGAAATAATACCAGTCAGGCTGCCGCCAATTGAGTCTTTAACAGATCTCACTCTTGGCACACTGCTTCGGTCGTTTGGCAGTGCTTCAGATTGATTGCCCCCCCTCCTCACTGCGGAAAGCATAAGTTCACCTTCTTGTTTTCCACATTGGGCTTTCTTTTCCACATTGGGAATTTTGCAGAGTGGTCACTCCTAAGGGGCAGGCATACCTGTCGAATGCCACATGTCTTCCCCCTCTGGATGGACCGTTGCGTGGCAATGACATTCTTTCAACTGGAATCGTGGAAAACAAGGCGCTGTGAGAGCTGCTCATGTGCCTGGGAATTGCATTGTTTCATGGTGGGCAGGCCAGGTGAACAATAATTCCTTGTGCAAGCATGGCAACTCACCGCAGAAATCGGGCTGCAAGCCTTCTTTTTGATCCCCGAACTCCGTTCTTCCCGCGCCCCCCCATTAGCTCCAGCGGGGCTTTCCTGCGTGGGGGTGGGGCTGGCTCTGCATTTCTTTTGCAGTATGGGCAGACATGCCTGTCGCACGGCGCTGTCTTCCATTCTGGGAATTTTGCAGAGTGGTCACTCCTAAGGGGCAGGCATACCTGTCGAATGCCACATGTCTTCCCCCTCTGGATGGACCGTTGCGTGGCAATGACATTCTTTCAACTGGAATCGTGGAAAACAAGGCGCTGTGAGAGCTGCTCATGTGCCTGGGAATTGTAGAGACTCTTTTTGGATTCTGAGCCGTTTTTGGTGGCTTGCCAGAAAGAAGGATCCCTAGAAAGAATGGAAATGGAAGCCACCCCTTGGTTTACGGAATAAAGATGAAAGCAAAAATCCTGCGTACCCCGCTGGATAGTGGACGCTACCCCTAGAGCTCTCAGCGCGGATCTGCGGCAACGGAGGCGACCTTCGACTCGCTGCGGGACTTTGGGCCCGAGGCGGTGCAGCAGGACGCCAAGGCCCTGGAGGCGGTGCGGGACATGCTGGCCTGGTCCGGGCGCGCAGGGGGCTGGGAGTGGGGGGGAGGGAGGAGTTGGGGGGATGAAGAAGAAGGAGGAGGAGGAGGAGGAGAAGAAGAAGAAGAAGAAGAAGAAGAAGAAGATGGAGGAGGATTTTGTCAAACAGATTTGTAAAGCTTTCTTGGTTGGTCTTGCCAAGAATCAAGACAAAACGCACACTTGGGGACGGTCCAATATTGAAGCCGCACTGGCTTCCTTTCAATCCTCGTGAATAGATTTGGTCTGGTGGAAACCCTCTTCCAGACGTGGCGGGATTTGGATGCGTCTGCAACAGTTTGCACTTCTGCCCCCTGAACCCTCGCGCTGAACATGCACTCGTGTTTGCCAAAATCACTCGGAAACATGGGGTGGGCCTGCTGGATTCTGCGGATCAATTGGGAAGGCTCAGATCCTTCATGTCATGTTCAGCATGAAGTGCACGCGTGCTGCCCACGTTGCCAGAAGCAACAACGTACTGTAGGTATAAATCTTGATGTGGCTGTGAGTCAAAACCAATGGTACCATTTTGGGGTAGGTGCCCCACCCATTTGAGTCTGTTTTAGCGGGGATTGGGATGTTCACTACTGGGGGTACGATTTGGATTTTGACCCATGGCCACGTGGCGCCTTTTTGGTTAAAATGTTATCCAGAGATTTCATGCCAACCAAATTAGCGACGCCCCCGAGGCTAGCGCAGCGCACCTGCAAGGCGGGGGCCTGGGGAAGTCGACAGAACTGAGAGCAAAGGCCGCAAGAATAGCCTCCGCAGGTGGCTTAAAAGGAAACCACCGCCAACAACAAGTTTTGAGAACCCCCCGAGATGCTCACTTTCAGGGACCCACAAGTAGCCAGATCACTCGAGACTTCGCAAGGCGTTTCGCCGAAGTAAGGGCCGATGGTACAAGTCCTTGTTTTTGACGTTGCTCAACATGTCCGAGGCGTGGATTGATCCGCCAGCCACCTTGGAGAAGGCTGGTTCCCGAGAGTGGAGGGCAACGTTCACGGGTGTCAGCTGCACTCCGGTCGTTGCAGTGGGCTTGATACCACACGCCAGGCATCCCTGAGACCAGTTTGGAGCACATGGTGAGGAGTTTGTTTCCCTCTTGCCACATGGGCTTCTTTAAAGAGCGGCAGGTTTGGCGGTTCGAGGGTGCGGGGTTTGCCGCGCTAATCCTTTTGTAGCTCTGCAGCCCAATCCGGAATTGCCCTTGGCTTTTCCCTACTTTGGTTTGGCTTGCATCCCGAAGCCTAAGCCCGCGGTTTTCCCTTACCCTACCCTGTGACCATGGTTGCAACCCGCTGGCTTGAGTCTCTTCAGCTTTGGACAGCGCTGAACAGTTCGTACCCATAGACGTCATGCCTTGCCCGGTCATGGAGGGTGTGAATTTCTGAAAAGGCCCCCCCCTCCTTTTGGCAACGTGCCGACACCGGGCGGGCCACGATAAGCCAAAAGCCGGTGTCCGACTTTCGATAGGCCAGCCGGGTCCAGGAGTCCTGCCCTGTGAGAATTGGCTGAAGTGTTTCTTTGGAACCTCCCCATGCTGCTTTGAACTCCCTCCCTGCCGGGAACTTGCAACAGGGGAACTGTGGAGCTCAGAATGACTCCTCCCCATGGGCTCTTCCAATTCCAACTTTGGCTCCGCCCCGCCCTTGGCCCAAAGCGACTTCGCCAGGCCCTGAGCAGCCACGAGGAGCGGCTGCGCGCCGCCCTGGCGGCTCCGGGCCGCTCCGAGCAGACGCCCAAGGCGCGAGAGAGAAGCGAGAGGCCGCGCGGCGTGGCTGGCGCGGGTGGGACTGCTTTGGGGATTTGTATCTTGAACCCCCCAAAAAAGCAAGCTGTTTTTTTGGGGATGTGAATCTTGAGCCCAAAGAAACAGTATAAACCATACAGCAGCTTTAGGGTTTACACACAAACTTTGCAGCAAAAACCAAACAATGAACCATGAACCAGCTTTATCCAGCTTTAATAAGTCTTGGCGCGTGTTTGCTTCCTGGCTCTTGAAGGTCCGGGCAGTTTGTTGTGTGTTTGTCATTTCTTCACCTCGTTGGTGGGCAAGTTTGGTTTTGCGTGTGTGGGTTTTTTGTTCCTCAGATGCTCTCAAATCATGATGAGGTGCTCTTGTGCGCCACTTGTTTTTTGCTTCCGAGCTGCTTGTTTTGTGACGGCTTCGTAGGAGTGCATGGGATAATGAGTTTAATGGCATGAATTCTGGGATGACTTCGTGTGCGAGAATCCCAGTCGGAGGTTCAAGCTTGGGATGTTTTCTGAAGCGATTGGAGACTTCTCCCGGCTTGGGACAGTTCACTTTCAGGACACTCAGTGCATGGTGGGCCCTCTGCTCCGAGCTCTGGGCAGGTGGAGGAGCTCCGCAAGGAGCTCCAGCAGCAAAGGCAGCGGGCTGAGGAGCGGATGGATGGCCGGATCGAGTGCCGGCGCGGCGCGGGACGCTATGGGATTCTTCCATTTGCTTAAGAATGTTTGATTTTGCCTTGTTGGTTTTAAAAGGGAATTATCACTACTGGAAATATTTGTATTTTTTCCGTAACCAAATGGAAGGGATCTGCAGGAGCTGGAAGCACTTCTCAAGGAGGCCGTGGGTGGGGGGCAGCATTGGCCGGGGAGCATGGCATTCGCGCCAGGCCGAGCAGCGGGAGCAGAAGCTTCTGGCTCGCCAGAGCCCGAGCGCAGAGAGAGCGAACTGATGGACCGACCGCGCCAAGGCCGCGTCTTGGTGGAGTCTGCGACTCCGGTGACCCCAGAGGTTCTCACGGGAGTCCTGTCGGCCCTGCTTTGCCACAGGTACCCCAGGAGGAGGTGGTGGAAGCTGCGCCGGCGGCCATGCCAAGCCCCAAGCCACAGCAGGGGGCCCCAGCTCAGGAGGTATTTTGCTATAATATTGGCCATTGGTTTGCAGTCCGCGTGCCAACAAGCAGAGTTGTGGGGCCAGTGGTGTCGCCTCAAGGTTGCCAGCGCCAGACGAAGTGCAGGCCTGGTCGCAGCTGTGTGCCGCTGCGTGCCGGTGCATCAGAGTGGGGATACTAAACTTCGGCGAGGATCCCGCGGTCAGCGACGCACCCGAGCAGGTCGAGGAGAATTCAGAAACATCGAGACCTAACAATGGTACAAAGTCAATCAAGGGTTTTGCTATGAAATAAAAAAGAAAACAAAAACCGCCACCAATAAGGTAAACATCAATTTCAATGACTAAGAACGTCCTGCAAGGCGAGTTTCGGCCGCTGGCATCTGACCAAACAAACATCCTGCTCCCGAGGAGCGGCGGGAGGAGACTTGCGACGCCGCCGGGGGCCCGGGAACCGTCGCTGGCGATGCTGGCGTCGCTCGCACCTGGCGCTTGAAATGGAACACGGGGGGGGGGTCCTGGTTGGGTGCAACTTTGTATGGGGAGGGGAAAAGGTTCTCTGATTTGGTGAAGTTTTGATTTGGCAGGGTGCTGCGGCGGCGGCGGAAGCCGAGCAAGAGGCAGCGGAAGCCGAACTTGGTCCTGGACATCAAGGGCGATGCTTGATTCCCCGGAGAACGCAAGTCAGCGCGCTGTCAGCTGTGGTAAAATGCAGGGAATTTGCCAAGACAAGCAGTGAATTATTATTTTAGCGGATCCTGCGACGTCCCAAGATATTATTCCTGAGCAGTCTCAGTGTAGGCCCTTCCACGCGCGAATCAAACTCTACGTGAGCAAGTCCTTCATTTGGAGACGCAACGAGTTGTTGGTTGCTGTTACCTTCGAACAGGGCCCCTCTCAATCTTTGGAGACATCCAATATATTCCTAGATCGGTAGGCTGGTGAACAGACGTCTTGGTGGGGTGAATGTTTTCATGGATCCAGGCGCAGCGGATGAGGCTCTTCAGATGTCCCTTCGCGGAGGCTGAGAGGGTATGGGCACCTGAGAAAGGGCTTTTCGGCGGGACGCCTCCGTGAGTAAACTTCAGAGGCCTTGGAATCTTCAGCCTTGCAACGCTGTTTGCGGGTGAATGTCTGACCCAACTGCCGCGTGCACCACTTAGGCACCCATGTTCCTTTGATAGTATTGGTAATGTATGGGGGTGAGTGCGTCGCTCCTGAACGCTGGGAAAACCGTCGCTTCGGAACGCTGATTAAAAATCGCTTCGGAACGCCGGAAAACGTACTAAGCGCTTAGGAACGCTGGAAGCGCAGCCACATGCCACGCGCTGCACCAAGACACCGGCGAGTGTTTCGCTCTTGAACGCTGGGACAAGTATCGGCACCCATGCGTCCACGCACCCACCTACCCACGGGCCCCGCACTGCTTGCGCCGCTTCTGGCTATTCGTGTTCGCAGCGGGTCCATGCGCCCACGCGCCGCGCTGGGCCGTTCGTGTTCGAAGCGCTGGAAACGCACCCATGCTCACGCAGCCACATTTTTACCCACGCGCCCACGCGCTGCTTGCGCCGTCTGCTGACTGTTCATGTTCGCGGCGCGACAATACGCCCACGCGCCGCGCCGGGCTGTTTGTGCTCGAAGAGCGCTGGAAACGCACCCATGCTCACGCACCCACATGCCCACACGCTGTTAGGGCAAACATATTTCAGGTTCTTCGTGTCTCTGACACAGCCATGTGACGTGCGTTTGCTCATAGTTGTTGTGTTATGAAACTTGTCGTTATATGATATGTGCTTTCTGAAGTTTTTGGGGTAGATGTTTGTTCAGGGTTGAGGGTTGGTGTGGGTTGGGGCGAAATGCTGATTGGATTCTGCACACCCTGGCTGGGATGAAGCAGTTCAGCGGGTGTGCTTATCATGCCCCCACCCCCACCACAGCCCCCACCCCCAGAACCAGATGAATGAGCTTGGTTACCCAGCAGGCTGGGCTGGTTCAGTTGAGCGGGGTTGCTTACCCCTGCGTTCGGAAGTGATCCTTGGCTGGGACGCCTGCGTTCGGAAGTGATCATTTTTACATGACCGGGTTTTGCAAACCTTGCGTGCTCAGTGTTCTGAAGTGATTTTTCTTAGTGTTCGGAAGTGAACGAGAGTGGCAGCGTTCAGAAGTGATTTTTTTGGCGTTCGGAAGTGATTGTCTGCCTCTATGGGAGGGGAGGACATTGGGAGCCCATCCCCTGCTACACTCGAGCGCAGGCCATTGACCTCACCCTCTCGCGCTGTGGCCCCGAGGTGGGTAAACAGAAGAGCGCATGAAAGCACCTGAAAGAATGGCAGGATGAGGACAAGCGGCTAGGGCGAAGGCGCCGTTCACACCATCCATAATGAATTTTCGCCTTACCATCGGCCCCAATTCGGTTCCTTGGGCAATGAGTTTGCGCTGCGCCGATTGCAGGCAGCTCCGGAGCTTCATCGGGGAGGTCTACACAGCAAAGCGCAGGGCGCTCAGGAAACCTGGAGGCGAGCGCTTTGCGGTTGGGCGCTTGGGCGTCCGAGGCTTGGAAGACCGCAGACGAGACAAGGCCGCCCAGCCGAGACGGGCGCTACATTGCATCATGCAGGACGTGTGGGCGAAACGAATCGAAGTCTCACAGCATTCTTTCAGCTTGCTGGTTGGCCCATTGGCCCATTCGAGAAACCATGGGCGGCTTTAATTGCCAGCCTCAGCTCCGCAAAGTTCAACGCTTGAGGAGATGCTGCGACGACTTCACGGGGTGAAGAGTTTGGTGCACCGGCGCTCTTGGCAGCGACCTGGCAATGTCAGAGGGGCGCACGCCGCACGCCTCGGGTCGGGTCGGCGGCCGCACCAAGAGACTCGCGAGCTGAGGCTTTTGGAGGCCATCGCCGAGCACGCGTCATCCGCCAAGTGCTGAGTTGAAGAGAAAAGCGCCATGTGGGTGATGCACATGCAGATGTGGCCCAGATGTGGCCTTGAATGTGAAAGGGGAACCCCTCTCAAAAGTGGTTGGACATCAATCCCCGCCGAAGTCTGACGGGTCGAACGAGTCAATGATGTTTTGATGTCCGAGGACACCACGGTTGGCCTTTTTGCTGACTTCCTGGACGGCTCCCGGGACTTGGACGAGCCAGCGCCTCAGCCCGAAGGGTTGAATTCGTCGGTTTTTTCTTCCAGCGAGGCTGTCGTTCTACCTCTACTGCTCTGCCCTCATAGCCAGCACTCCGGAGGAGACGCAGGCCTGGGACCCATGGCCTTTTTTGCGTGAGAGGCGCAGGTGTAGCAGGTGTGATGAAGGCAGCTGTGCAGGTGCCTTCCAGGTTGCCTTTGGGGATTGCCCGCGCCTCAGTCCACTGCCAGGGCTTGAAGGGTCTAGATGGCGACCAGGGGACGGGTCGCCTGTTGCCTGTTGCCTTCGAGCTATGCAGCTACGCATTGCGAGACACCGGCCTGTGACTCGAGGTCAGCGAGCCTCGGTGCATTCGCCTGCTGGAGCTCTTGTTCGATGACCTGCCCAAGGCCCGTGGTCGGGTCGCCTGCATCATATCCAGCAGTGATATCGCCCGTGCCAAGAACTTGTGACCAGCATCCTTCCACTATCTACATTTGGAATGACGCGATCAGTGTCGGAAGGCTAGGACGGTCGTGAAGGAGGAAATCGAGAAGCAGGCCGTCTCGTTGCAGATCCCATCCTGAATGGCCGGATCACGCAATTCGGTTGAGAACCCCAGCAAGTTCTCCCAAAAGCATCGGGTCGGATGGCAGGTGCCGCGGATGAATTTGGCAGGTGATCCGTGGGAGGACCGAGCATTGTGAGGATCTCTGACTTTTATTCTGCCAAATGACTGGCGGTCCCTGGAAAATCAAACAACTTCCATGTAAAGGGACCTTTTGGGTGGGTTCAATATTGATGGAAAGGCAGTCTTCCCCATCCAATTTTCCTTTCCGTCCTCTTGAAGCCTGTCCGCGAGGAGTTCAGCCTCTTCGAAGAGGTGCGCTGCATTGAAGCCGACGGCCTGTGTGGGGCCCAAGTGGCCGGGGGGGTTCCTACCGGGAACCTCGTTCGTCCTGCTGGTTTTTGCAGGGAAAACATGTTACACGTAGACCCCTCGAGTTTGCGTCGAGGTGTCGCGCTCTGCTTGAAGGATGGAGAGTGTGCCAGCCTCAAGATGCCCATTGAGACTTTCGAGGGACATCTTCGAGCAGGGGATTCCCTATTTGATGAGAGAGAGCCAGATGGAGCGACCAAACAAGCCTTGTCGTGGATTGGAAGATGTCTTTGCTGGGGTTGACGAATGCAGTTGATAGGTTCTTTTGGGCTGCACACTGTAGCGAGCTGTGGTGGTTGTTTTGGCCACGGTGACCACACAACTTGTGCCAAGGGCAAGAGTTTGATTGGGTACCAGACACCTAACCATTGAAGGCATTGCGGGCTCAGCTGCTTCGTCGGCATCGGCGTACGCTTAGCTGCGCGGCAGCTGGCTGAGGTGCTGTCTGTTACTGACGAAGAATCTGCCGCACTTCTCTTGGCCTGCGCCCCATCTGGCACACTTCAATCAGGAAAGCAACAAAGGCAGGCCGTGCCCTGCTGGCCCCACTAATATCATCAGACTAGTTTTTTTTGTGGTGGTGGAAGACATGTTTTGTGAAGAGTGCAATCACACACCCCAAACCAATGTGATAGGGATTCGACCCATGGCTTGTTGCGAGTAGGATCCATTGCTTGCATATGCTTGGATTGAGGGGCTCTTTGGGAACTCGAGCGCGTTGCGGAACTCGAGCCATCTTCAGATCGGCATGGGTCAAAATGACACCACCCGGATTTTGTTTCTTTTAAGCACCAGGCTTTTTTTTTTCCCCCATTCTTCTCCGGCGAACCGGGGCTTGCCCCATTTTGGGGCCCCAGGTTCGAGCGCCGCCCGGCCCTCGCCTGAAGGCGCGACACCGTGCTGGCCTTCCTGCAGGCGGACGTGCACGGCCGCGGCTGGCTGGACCCCCACGAGGCGCCTTGCACCGGGCGCGCGGGGAATGGGCGAGAAATGGCCAGGTGGCGCAAAAACCCGGTCCAAAATGGGTTGCACTCAGTGGAACATGGAGTTTAAAACCTGCTTTTTTTGCCCCTCCGATCGTGAAGAATTTTGAGCCACACCCAGGGGCTCATGAAGAACCCTATGGGCTGTTTGGCCGGTCAACACCAATGGGATCCCATTTTGGGGTAGGTGCACCACCCGATTTAGAGCCGATTTTAGTGGGGATTGGGATGTTCACTGGGGGTACGGGGTTTTGACCCATGGCCATTTCAGCCAAGAAGGTGATTTTGTTTGTGGGCCAAGAAGAGAAGCTCCGAAGGAACGTCGTCGCGAAGCGGGCGACAAGTTGTGACAAGTTTGTGATGGGGCCAGAGCCTTGCAGTGACATCTCCGTTGCACTCTCAAAACCGATTCCTTCGTAAGTGGTTGGGAGCCTGTTGGAGCTGCTCGTATGTGGGAGTGTTAGTTGGGGGCGGATGGGGGTGCCAAAAAGCACAGTTCTTCCAATGTATGAGGCAAGCCAAAACCAGGTGGAATGTTTGTATTCTTCGATTGTTTTTGTGCAAGCCAGGCAAGCAGTCATGGCGCTACATGTTACTGTTAGTGGGGTCCTCGATTGCAAGCTGCAACAGGATATGATACTGTCAATGTGGGTGCTTTTTTGGCGGGTACCGCCTCTTTGAGTTGCTTTAAACTTGAAGGCAAACCAAAGAGAAACCAAAGGGAATTAAACAGGAAATAAAAGGGAACCGTGGGCTTTTCTATTTTGAGACAACCCTGCCTGTCAAAAATGTCCAGTCTCCCATGACTCTCTGAAATTCCCAGTACCAGAGGACTCACCATGTTTTCCTCCGCGCCCTTTGGGCATCCAGTTTTCTTGGCCCCTTCCGCAGCCAGGTACAGGGCAGTTGCTCTTTCCTGAAAGGGCATGGTCTGACGTTCGGGAAATGGTCCCTTCAAAAGGAGAATGGTCTTCAAGGCCCCTGTCAGGTTCCATGTGGCTGTGGCTCAAACAACCGGTACCAAAATGGAACCCTGGTAAGTGGAAACATGGACCAAAGCCTGCGTAACCCCTCCGATCGTTTAATGTTGAGCCACACCCAAATGACCACGGCCAACTTGTTTCTGTTGGAGGGTGGTTTTCCCACCAAGTTTGATCAACCCCCACGTGAATTGCTGGGAGTGATCTTTGACTTGGCTGCGATGGCTGCCAGGTGCAAAAGGCGGAGAGCCGGCCGCGTGCGCCTCGCCACTTGGCAGAGGCTTCAGCTCAGGCGACGGCTGGGTACGGCAGGTGTCATGTTGATTTGCAACATGCATTCCATATGGAGATGGGCACCTTGCAGTTGAGAATGCACCCAGGGCTTCGCTCGCGCGGTCGGGGGAAGCGCTTATCCGAGGCCCAAGTACGTTGCCCCTCACAGACCAGACCACGCTCGCAGCTTAGAGCGATCGCGCATCTTGTCGTTTCGAACGCTTGGATGAGGACGGTTCTGCACATGGCCGGTGGTATGAGGGCAGTTTGTCTGAGGCTCGGGGCCTTTGTCTTCCGCACGGTGCAAAGCTTGGGGGGCCTCAACAATCCTGCCCGACGCCCCAGCGGGACGCATGGCCCATTTTGGTAGCACGTGGGCCTTTTTTACCACCATGGATGCGCTCGAAACCTTGGAAGGTGTTAAACATGGGGCAAACTAATGTCCAATATGGCACAAGCTGCTCCAGCCCTCGTGTGCTTGAATGAGCAGATCCTGCTCCGGGAATCCTTTGAGATCCTTTGAGTACCACAGGGGGTCACATCTACGTGATCATGCGGATCATCGTGGGGCACATCTTTTCAAATCCGAGAGATGTGGTCCACAATGATCGACTGAATGCGGGAGGAACTGGAAAAATAGCACATATGCATATACACTCATTCCTTCAATGTACCCTGTTTCCAAAGATGGAAGTGGGGGAGAGAGGGTGATCTAAGAGTGGGCCTGTGCCTATATCGAGCTCGCCAAAATGCTTGGTAACACCAGCATTTTCATTCGTGAGGAAGGTTCCTAACTTGGGGGTTCCCCCCTGCTTTTGGTGGGTGAATTCCTCCAGTTTAGAGGAACTCGATTGTTGCAGGACAATCTCAGGATAAACTGCACGTAGTGACGTCGAGGTGGAGCAAATCTTGGCCGAGCATAGTGACTATAGAATGATACAATTGTTCCCATTCATTGGGGTGTCTATCATCTGATTGTATGTATGCTACGCCCCTCCTGGTGTCTATAACTTTGCGTGATTTGAGCGCGCAGGCTGTATAGTTTTGCTGATCTTGCAGCAGGTGCCCCATTTTACTGGCTATAGTGTCTGTTTGTGTGTGTGTTTGTGTTTATAAACTGTTTTTGCAGCAGACTTAAGAGGCTTGCAGTCTACCATGCCCATTTCAGAGAGCTGGATAGAGAGCAGTTCCGTTGCACAATTCCAAGAAAAACATCCCAAGCAAGCATGTATCAACATGTAGACGTGCTAGAAGCCTCAGGAATTCACAGAAGCTGGACCGAACAAAAAGAACTAGAAGGCCGGTGGCCAAAAAACATAAATGATTTACTCTGTTGTAGGCATGGTTAGCCGCGTGTTTTTGCGCAGAATAAGCTGCCTTTCCGTGCATTTTCCTTGCGCACGTTTCTTTGCGCAAGTTCTCTGAGCAAGTTTCTCGGAGCAAGTTCTCTGAGCAAGGTGTAAAGGGCAAACACTAAACATTGGGTACCTCTTGCACACAAGAAATGCTCATGTTCTGAATTCAAGATTCACAATTGCCCAGGAAAGCTTTCTCCAAAATCTTGACTCCAGAAAAAGGGCATAGAGTCAGTTTAAGGCTAAAGTATAGTGCATGAAGCCATGTTGCTCTGGATTTGGACAGAACGCAATTCCATTACAACAATTACACCAGCATAGACCCCAGATAGCAGAAAACAGGTCGAGGATTGCACACTGCTCGTTGATCGAGGGGCTTCCTGCCCCAAACAGCACCCAAAGCAGCACCTGCATCAGCACCCCCATGCCTAGCCCGGCTGTCACTCTCGCAACAATGCGCCCCCCGCCAATCTCGCAAAAATGCGCCCACTGTCACCAGCGTCTGACAGTACATGTATCATAAACATGTAATAATATTACAATTATATTTGATATATAATTAGCACCTGCCCAGCACCCCCAAAAACACTGCACCAGCACCCGAAACTGCATGCCACCTAGCACCCTGCCCTCAATCTTGCAAAAATGCGCCCACACCTCGGAAAGCACCTGCACCAGCACCTTAAACAGCATCTGCACCACCACCCCAAACTGCATGCAACCTGGCACCCAGCCGTCGATCTCGCAAAAACGTGCCCACACCGTCACCACCAGCTCCAACAGCACCTGCACAAGCACCCCAAACTGCATGCCCCCCAGTCAATCTCGCAAATCACTTTCCCATCTTTATTAGAAGCTAGAACCCCTATAGCTTTCAGCTATCTGGGGAAAAAGAGAAAACAAGCGTTCCAAGCAGGATGCAGACATGCCAGACCCCGGGAAATTGCAGAAGCGGGACCAACAAAGGACATTTTAGTGCCCCTGGAACAAAAAGAAGAAGCATCTTTCCAAGATCCAAGAATCACCATTGCCCAGGAAAGCTTTGTCCAGAAAACGAACAATATCCGACAATGAAGCTTGCCCATGCAAATGGAGCTGAAGCTCTTTTTCAACTTGCCCCCTGAAATTATGAGCGCTGAGTCTAAACATCTCAATACAGTACTTAGGCGTTTGGGGGGCAACGGATCTTGGATCCAGATTCCTGAATACGTGGATCCAGATTGCTTAATACCGGGTAGTAAGGAATCTCTCTGCAGTATTCAGAAACCTTTGTACCGGTAAGGTTTCAGGGGAGCCATTCATGGATCCAAGATTTCCCTCAAACGTCTCCCGGCAATCTTGGATCTTGGATCCAGATTCCTTAATACCGGGTATTAAGAAATCTAAATACAATACTAGGCAACCTTAGTACCGATATTGAGGTTTCAGGGCGGTCATTCAAGTCCAAGATTTCCCTCCAAAAAGTTCCCCAGCTCTTGGATCTTGGATCCAGATTCCGCAATACTCGGCAGTAAGAAATCCCTCCATCCTTGGTGCCCATTTTGGCCAACAAATACAGAAAGTCCTGAAACAAGTGGTTAACATACATATGTATAGTGTTGACAAAGGACAAATACTCCTTTGGTTGATTGAGACGGGGGATCCAGATCACTGTCATGTTCCCCCCCGCCCCCACCCCCGATGAAACTCCTCCAGGCGATGCTTAGACTTAGATCCACATTCGTGATGGATGGCCCTCCAAGTAGCACTTTGTAGGGTACAAGTAGGTCGCATTTGGGCTGACGCCTGTCAGCCACGCTGAGGTGGACTTGAAGGAAGAAGCAACTGAGCCAACGGCCGAGTGCTGCTTGTGCATGAGCTTGTGCGTTTTTGTGACCCATGCACCATCAACGCATGGCTGAGTGTCCCAAATTCAGCTGGATGCAGCCTCTGAGGTTGGCATCCTGTGAGCCCAAGAGGGAGCCGGAGGCCGGCCTTTGCCACCTTTTGTTCGAACCAACCAAGGCCGACCCCCAAAAACAGACACACCCCTGCTGTGGATGGTTGCGAAATCCATTTCACAAAGCAGCTCCAGTCCATTCTAAGACTTTGATTCGTTGCAGTCGATGCTCGTTTTCGCTGGGAGCTGGCATGCCAGGCCTGCCTGCAGCTTTGCCGGGGCCTCGCTTACGTGGGGCCTGCGCTGTGTCGAAGCGGGGACGGCTCTTGCGAAGGGACCCGTGTCAGTTGCTGCTGTGGTTAAGCCCGGTTGGTTCGAAGTGGAAACCCGTGACGGGTTTAGCACACTTTTTTAGGTGCGGCCCCCCACGTTTGGTTGAACTGGCAATTGGGTTGAGCATGGGACTTCGACACTGAGCAATGAATGCTTTGTAAACTCGACGTGATGGGAAAGGCTCGTCCCCGAAGCAGGATTGAATGCCATCGTCTCGCCGCTTGTAAGTGCTGAGTGTGCCCCGGATCTGGACGATGACTCTGTCATTGCCAGAGAGGGTGTCGATGTGATTTGATGCAGATGAGCGTTCAGAGCTTGATGTGGAGAGCTGACCCCAGAAACTTAGCATCTTGGGCTTCAAAGTCCCAGAATCTGACGACCAATGACCTTGACCTTCAACCGCCTGATTTCCTTTGTAGGTCCACTTGTGTTTGGCTTGGCGCCCCAATCCTATTCTTAGCCAACCAAAAGTGGACCAAAGGAAAGCAAGCGGTTGAAAGTCAAGGGCACGGACCAAACATACGACCACGACTCCACTTTGATCTTTGGATTCCCTGCTGGGTGTGGCTCAAAATTAAACAGCAGGGGCAAACCGCAGGTTGTGGTTCATGTTTCCAAATATCAGGGCAACCCATTTTGGATTCGCTCAAACGGGGCCTTCCGGACCCGATGAGAAAAACCCAAAGGCCTCGCGGCCTTTCACTCCCTGGAGCCCAGCCTGGCAGTGGGGAGCCTGGCAGTGGGAGGGTGGTTTCCTGTCACAGAGCACTCCGTGTTTTTGTTTGTTTGCGTATGCACATAACTTCGATGTGAGCGTTGGTATCATAAGCCAGAACATGTAAATGAAAATATAGTATATATCTACACATACATATTTGAGTGGCGTTGTGAATGGTCACAACTTCACCAGTGCGAGCTTCACAGTCATTGAACCCGAAAAACACTCATCACAGGCATTGACCGGATCGAGCATGCTTGTACCCCATACCGTTTGGTGGCGTGTGTGATTCTTTGCGAGCTTCTCAAGTTGACAGATCACCAGGTACCAAGCATGTGATCAACATATGCACCGAAATAGGAACATGTTGTTGAACTCAAATGGTAGCGCCCTGGAAGAAAATGTTTCAGCAGATGCACAGTCAGCGTTGGTCAACCCTTCCTGAAATGGACATATTGAGGCTATTTGTTGACTAGGCTAGAGGGTGCGTAGGTGGGGTGTAGGTGAGGTGGGTTTTGAGGTGCTGGGACCAGCATGATACAATCTGAGCCAAGGTGTACTTGAAGTGGCTCCTGCACAGTGAAGAGCCTCGAGATCGCACTGTGTCAGCCCCTCAACTTCTTGTGGCATGGAATGTGAGTAGTGGGTACCTGCGCTTCCACTGACATGGCACGACAAAGCAACCATGTTTTTTCGTTTGCCCTTCCACATGCTATGTTGTTGGCAAGGGTTTCAGGGCTGCGGTGGAGGGTAAGAAGCACCATGTCGCAGTGAGAGCTGGGCTTTGCGGAAGGGAGAAAACGGCCCCCGTTCGACTCGCGAACGAAAGCAACACAAAAAAATCAAAAAAAAAAAAACAACAACCAAAAAGCACACACACACACAAAAGTCGCGGAGGTACCAAAGCGTGAAGGCCCGGATCTTCGGGGTGAGGAGAAGCGCCAGCGCGGGGAAGGTCTGGCCCCTGATGCACAACCTTCGGCCGTGGGCCCAGAGAAGTGTGCCCAAGCGAGGCCTGCGTGGAACGCTCTGTGAAGGGAAACTAAGGAAATCCACCCAGTTTTTCTTGCATCGTGTTTGCAGCGATCCATTCGTAGAGTGTAATGAACAGAGGGCATGAGCTGTGGCTTGTTTTGCTTGCTTGTTCATCAGTGCTAGCGTCTTGCTCGGCTCCCGGTCCGAGCAAGATGTATCGACAAAGATGCTGGTGGCTCGTCCCTAGAAGGGCAGAAGCCAAGGTGCTTGCTCGTCCTCCTGCTGAGTCACCAGTTTGACATGCAGCTTGTCAGGGAGGAGGCGTTCTCTCGTGCCCATTTGCAGCTTCAAGTCTTATGCCCCAACAGGCATGTATTTTGTGGGCACCAAAAGGGATGCGTTTTTTTTCTTCTTCTTCTTCTTCTTCTTCTTCTTCCCCTGTTTTTTTAACTGCCATATCAAGCACCAGAACACGTTGCAGTCGTGCCGTGGCACTTTGGAGCCAGGCCCAGCCAGAGCACATCGGTTGGGAGATGACGGCGGCAGCCTGAGTTTTTTTTTCTTTGCAGCGTTCAGCACGGATCTCGCTCCACTGCTCAAGGCTCTATTGCAGGTGTTGCGCGAGAGCTGGAGGAGCCAGCATCAGCAATGTCCGTAATGCCTTATTGTCCCTTGCACAGGGACTTGTTTTGGACAATGATTTTGTGGAAGGAGATCTACTGAGGGATTGTTGACCACCTGCGAGGGCAAGTCAACGGGCAAGTCAATCCGGTCCTTTGCCGGAAAGTCGCGGCTGGCGAATCACAGGGCGTGAGTCGGCCTTCCCATTTTTACTCGGCCATGAGGAAGCTTCAGGATCTTCGTGAGAGGAATCTTATGATCCTAGATGCAAGTCACATCTTGTGCCGATCAAAGTTGCGACCAGCGCAGGGACCAACTGCACTGTGCTTTCCTCTCCCCTTCATGCTTATTGTTGCTTCAAGAGTTAGAGAGAGGTACTCACCCTAAATTTGCGCCATTTATAGTCGCATATCTCTAATCCAGCCACTTCTGCAAGACAAAGACTTCAACCTTGGTTCGGACTTTGGGTTCGCTCAGGCTGAGAAGCCAGCTCACTCAGTGCCATTCATTTGTTGACCCATTTCTTCCCGCAGTTCCTCCGGATCAACCTGTAAAGATAGCTGCTCAAGGGCTTGGCTATTTTGCGACAACTTGTGAATTCAGACAGTGAGCGGCCACGTATGGTCAATCGTAGAGCAATCCTTGCCTTCTTCTCAACCTAGGCATGTCTCGAACTGGGAAACGGAGGGAACCACACCTCCGTTTCTCAAGGTGCTTGTGCTGTTTAGCCAACTTAGTGGTTTCACTCCGTTGTCCGCCTGGTTTCCTTGTGGCTCCCTTGTGGTTTCCTTGTGGTTTCCCGTTCTTCCGGGGCCTTCCAGCGGTGAGCGGAGCACGGGAAGTGGGCCCCGTGGCAGGAGGGGCGCCAGCGGACAGGGCGTGGAGTCGGGCCCGGAGTTCGGGCCGGAGCTGGAAGAGGCGGCCGAATCGACGGGGTGACCGCTTTTTCAGTGGAGGGATATGGGGGGATCTGGCAGGGGTCCTGGTTTGGACCATGTTCCTTTTAAAAGGACTATTTCTCGAACATCAAAAGGGTAGGAGGGGATACATATGAATGTTTTTGGGGGTTGATCAATATTCCTACCAGGGCAACTTTTCCCGGTTAGTGGGGGAAGTCGTACCTTTTTTTGTGGTTTTTCTAATGGCCATCCCACGTTTACCGGACCTTTTGGTCAACCGGGTGTGGCTAAAAAATAAAGAAGGTAGGGTTGCGCAAGATCATAGTCTTCGTTTCCATTCACCAAGGCGAGATTTTTGGTACATGCTTTTTGAGCCACAGCCAACCCCCCATATGGCCATGCGTGAAAAGTCCGTACCCCCAGTGAACATCCCAACCACTAAAATAGGTTCTAAAATGGGTGGTGCACCTACCCCAACATGGTACCAAAACGGTTTTGACCCACAGCCACATGTTGTTTGAGCCACAGCCAGTGCATTGCATTCGTATATGTATATATAGATATACATGTATAGATACGTACGTATACATACACTTACATATATGTGTGTACGTGTATGCATGCATGTATGGTAATGTAATGTAATGTAATGTAATGTAATGTACTCGTAGTGTAATGTAATGTAGTGGAATGTAATGCAATGCAATGTAATGTAATGCAATGTAATGCGATGCGATGCAATGCGATGCACTGCAATGTAATGTATTGTATGCATGCATGCATGCATGCATGCATGCATGTCTGCATATATGGACGTACATAATACATACATACATACATACATACATACATACATACATACATACATACATACATACATACATACATACATACATACATACATACATACATACATACATACATACATACATACATACATACATACATACATACATACATACATACATACATACATACATACATACATACATACATACATACATACATACATACATACATACATACATACATACATACATACATACATACATACATACATACATACATACATACATACATACATACATACATACATACATACATACATACATACATACATACATACATACATACATACATACATACATACATACATACATACATACATACATACATACATACATACATACATACATACATACATACATGCATGCATGCATGCATACATACAAACATAGATACATACATACATGCATGCATTTATATACACATATGCATATATATATATATATATATTATATATTACATATATATATATATATATATATATATATATAATATATATATATATAATATATATATATATGTAATATATAATATATATATATATATGCATATGTGTATATAAATGCATATATAGATATATGCATACATACACATATGCATACACACATATATATGTATATATGTATACACATACATATGTATATACATATGTATGCATAGTCTGTATATGCATGCACCCACCATCGGATGTTCGACGACTGTGCAGCCGCTCGGCCTAGTTGGCAGTTGGGAATGAATTTGAACATATGGAGCACTTTTCGGAAGAGTTGGTGAACATCGACTCCAATATAATTGATGCCCGCTGAAAGGTCCCTAAACACATATCCAGTTGAGGGCACGCTGAAATTGTAGGTTCCTGTTTGGATGTTATCGAAAAGAATAATTCACACCTTTTGTACCTGTATATATGCACATATGTGTATATATATATATACATATATATATATATATATATGTACATATGTATGTATACATACACATATCCACCGTTTGGGTGTTCATTTTTTGGACCTACCCCGCTGACACATCCAAATGATTTGTTCACCCCTGACATGCAGCCAAGCGCCTGATTTTTCTAGCTTAGGTTAGCCTTTTCCCGCCCCTAGATCTCTTACTCCGGTTCTTTGAAGTTGGCTTTCGGCGATTGACTCCCGGCGCATCGTGGATACAGCAATCTGACGGAGGCTCCATTCGTGATCCTTGTCTTAAGATTGATGAACAGCAATCCCTATATTGTTGAACCTGTCAGAGCCCAAAACCCGGATGACGGAGTTTACAACCGAACTCATGAGCAATCCGTTGCAGCGGCACAAGTGCAGGCAACCCTTGGTAGTCCAATGCACATAGGTGTCCTTCTTAGTGTGGTTGACAATAGAAGGCACTAGTTTAGATGGGTTTTATTCCATTTACCAGGGCCATCTATTTTTTCCAAAAGGACACCCATGCCAGTGCATGTGTTCAAACAAGTTGCAGGGATCGGCTAATATTTTTACAATATGAAGACTGGAATTCTCAGGTGGGTGAAGCCAACATGCGGGAGCAATGCGATTCGGACCAAGAGCGTCCGGTCAGCGGCCGGGAGAGACCGGTTGGATACTCAGTCAGCTTTAAATAAGGGAGCAATGGGCCGTCGCATCCTTCTGAACAACATGTGGATTTCTCTTTTAGAACGCATCTCATCGACTCCTGCAGCAGTATTCTTGAAATGTGCAAAATTGACGCCCCTTTTCCATGTTTCACCCGGGGCAAAAACTCTGCCCTTCATTATCGCGATTGTTCGCTAGGAAATCCATGCATGGTTGACGACCAAAGTGGCCCTCCGGAAGGAGGATGTCCAGTCGTGCGGAGAAAACTGGATGCTTGGCCGGGTGCGTTTCATGCTCGCCGGGGCTGAGGTTGATTTGACTCCTGAGCTATAATGGGACTCTCCAAATGGTTGCCGAGCATGAATCCCCCTGGGAAATGACGTCCACCAAAAGGAGCCCCAAACAGAGCTCACACCCATGATCTCGTCTCAATCCAGCAGCCAGCTGTCACATAGTCAGTGCCTTGAACCTCAGGCTGCTTTGGCTCCAAGCGGACACCAGGTTTCAGTGTGTCTCACGCACTCTTTGGCCGCCAGGGACTGGCCAAAAACTCTGGAAAGTCTACAGGCAACTTGGAAAATCAGAAAAACAACAACAACAACAACAACAACAACAACAACAACAACAACACCCCAAACCTTTGGAAAGTTCGAAACCCGGAGAAAAAGAACCAACCCGCATGTCTTTTTTTTCCACCCCCCATCTGAGCCAAGCTTACGACACACAAACACATTTCCATGGCGTGCAACTCCCTGGGGCTTCTGCTGCTGTGCCTGGCCCGGGGGCCCCGAAATCAGACGTTGGGAGCGTTGGACCGGTTTTTTGGTTTTGGTTTCAGTTCGAACCAGTTGGAACCAGTTGGAACCAGTTGGAACCAGTTGGAACCAGTTGGAGATCAAGTTGGTTTCTGTGAAATCAGGTTGGTGTCTGGTTTGGTCCTTGCATTTGCTTCAGTGTTTTTTTGTTTCCCTCTTGGTTTTAAAGGGAATCTATCACTACTGGAAATATTTGTATTTTCCCCTCTTGGTTCTAAAGGGAATCGATTTCACTACTGGAAATATTTCATTTTTTTTTCAGGAGGTTAAGCAAATGGAAGGGTTTCAGTTGGAACCAGTTGGAAGTCAGGTTGGTTTCTGTGAAATCAGGTTGGTGTCTGGTCCTCTCTGGTTTGGTTTCTGTGCAATCAGGTTGGTGTCTGGTGTCCTCTGGTTTCTTTTGGTCTCTGCGAACTCAGGTCGGGTTTTGGAAAAAGGTGTGTGCAAAGCTAAAAGTTACAAAAGCGCCAGGAACCGCGCCCAAGGAGGGGCTCACGGCTCAAGGTCAGTACCCAAAGAAGGTTGGTTTCCTTTGGTTCAAGGAGCACCTGCGAAGGTGTCTTTCTTTGAGCGTGCTCTTCGAATGAAGAGAAGCCGTTCGCAGTGGCACCTCGCTGAGGTCTTGCGGGCCTCAGCCAAAGAGCTCAAGTGCCCGTTGACTCGTCTTTCTGTCCAAGCGGGTTCCCACTCTGCCAATTGACATGGACAATTAGGTCCTCAGGGGATTGCCCAATCAACTTTATTTTTTCTTTTTCCAGGTTTAACTGAGGGAGCATGTAAGTGAATACATGAGCTTCACATGGTGGCCAGTAGTTATGCACTTTGTTTGTTCCCCGGAAGAAGTGGACACCCTCTTCAGACTCCTGCGAGATGCCTTTCCAGCTGCATGTATTCGCACTTCTTATTGAAGCATTGTGATGTGAGCAGGACATTGCCTTACTGTGGCCCTCTCCCCAACTAGGGGAACCCAAAGCGTGTTTCCCTGGTCTCCGTTTGAAACAGGTTGGGTAGCCTAAAAAAAGACCCCCCCCTTTGCATGTGCAGAGAACCGTTAGTGCAGACATGTGATTCGCTTCGGCTGGATCGTCTCTTGGCTCATGCGCGGACAAGTGAGAGAAACAACTGCCCCATGGAGAGTCTGTTGCCCAGCGGCTGCCCACCTAGTGGTGACCAATGTTACTCCAGCTACTCGATTTCTGGGTCAAGAGTCTGCAGGACAGAGCTTTCAGAGCTTTGCTTCTTGAAATTGGGGCCTCAGATCCTCCAATGCACGCCTTGTGGGGTTGATTGTCCTCTGCGATGAACTTGCAGGCCTCAACACCAAGACAAACACCATGTCATGATCATACGTGTCAAATGTGTGGAAACAGATTGATGAATCCCATGCATTTTCAAACATTCTCCACTGAGCCACGAGTAGTCATGGCTTTGCCCCGCAAGGGAGCGGCCTGGGACACAGGAGATGGTCACGAAGCGAGGGACAGTGTTGCACCTTTGATTGCTGAATTGGTACGTACTAGTGCTAGTTCTTTCTGTGAACCTTAGCAGGGATTGGTCAAGGCTTATGCACCCTTCGAACTCGCATTTGTTTGCTTTTTTGGCTTGCACCCGTGTTCATGCATTCATTGCAGCGGAGCCTTGTTTGCTCCCAAAGGCTTTTGACCTAATCCGAAGGACCATACGAATCATAGGTAGCTCCTTCAATAGGTAATCTAAATAGGGGGATTCCCAATTTAAATGGTCTTCAAGAATCCGAACTCAACCTTATTCATGACATCGACATGTTCATGAGCTCAATGCTTGCGTCAAGGTCTGAAGCTGACGCTGAACTTTTATGACATTTGGACCAGGAGCGTGCCGCGCGAGTCAATGTCATGAGTCCTGCTTGTTTTGTTAAGATTAATGGGTGGGGCTGGGACTGCGCTCGCATTTCTTTGTTTCTTCTAGTTGTTGGCGCTTTGGCGCAGTTATTGGGTTGGCGTAAATGTTCGTCATTTCTTCGCAGTCTCTGTGTATGGCGGCCGCAATGGAAGGCAGCCATTGCCTGTTTGGCAGCCCGGTTTTCTGTAGGAACCCTTTCCTTGCCTGCGTCACCATCTAAGGGATCACACCGTGAGGGTATGGGTCAAAAATCAAACCACTAGGGGACCACGGGTTTGAGCACTTATTTCAGGGCTCCATTTTAGGTACCCATTTGTGACCCACACCCATGTGAGGACATGCCCCCGACCAGATTTCGACTGAAGTGGCCAAGGTTCGGTGGTAGCCTCAATGCAGCGATGAAGATATCACCAACCACTCGAGCATCAGATGGCGTGCAGTACCATCCTTGTGATTTTCTGAACTGGTTTCAACCCAAATCTACAGGCAAACTCCCTGTTTGTTCACTGTTGGGATGTTCCCCTCCAAAAGTGATGAATCCCCACCAAATCCAGAAATGGACACCCCCTATATGAATAAACAGGGGTTTATGAGTCAATCTGCACAAACCCACCGCTTAGCAGCTGAGGAGCTGCTTCGAGTGCTGCTCCTCAGGTGCAAAGCGATCGATCCGGGTGCCGTGTCTTGTGAGAGGTGAAGTTCGTTCACGTCAGGTGACAGGAACGACAGGCGGGGCTCTCGCGCACGCCATGCCGCTGGCGTGCGCAGCTCATGGAGCTCATGAAAGCCCCAACTTAGATATCGCGCGGCTGCGTTTCTGTTAATGGGGAGCAGCCTCCAAACATTTACATGGTTCGTGGACCAATGGGAAATGACGCCCATCGAAGGGTCACAAATTTAAAGAATCATGGCCATTCCCATGGCTGTGCAGGCAGTCTGCAACGTTGGAGGATTCGATCATCAAAGCTGAGTACGGCTCTCTAGGCGGAGCTTTCAAGAGATGTGAGCTGATAGTCAGCTCCACTGGTCACGTGTTCGCGCGGTAGTTTCTGATCAAGCAACCAGTTGCTGTGTGGCATACAGTGTCATCATTCCAGGAGCGCAGCACGAGAAGGGCAGGTGCGGAGCTTGGCACACTTCTGTCGCAGGTTCTACGCGGAGTTGGAAAGAAATGTAACACAAGACATAGATGACTGGAGCGACTGAGTCCGGCTCGTGCTTCTGAGATCTCCTGTAACAAACAGACTGCCAGTCAACCTTTACTTTGGTTTCTTTTAAACCACTGTGCCCGATGGTGTCGTATGTTCTGGGTGCGCACTGAGATAGCTGGCAACTATCAAAGGAAAGCGAAATCGATTTTAGTCGTGTTAAACGTGCTGGAATCAGGCATGCAAGATGCTGCAGAGACTATAAAGGGTCATCGCCACGGGACAATGAATTTCCCGAAGCCGGGGGGGGGGGGGGGAGTGCAGGAGATGCGAGGATTCCCGACCCATTGCAAGTAAATCAACCTGAGTCAGAAGTCTTTGCTTCCCACTTGCGAGTTTCCAGCCCAGCAGTGACTGTGGCAAGCCTCACCAAATGAGAGATCCAGGTACTTGCAAACCCGGATTGACAGCTCCGACAGGTCATCAGATGCACCGGAGGCGGACCCGTCGAAGGACAGCGCGCGCTTCTTGATGTCACATGGATGCCTAGGGCTTTGTGAAATGGCTGGAACATCATGTTGGCTTCGTGCAGTCCAAAAGCGTTTCTCTGTTTTCCAGAACACCGCCACTTTAAAAAGGCTCTCCTCCGCTTTTTGTAGCAAGAAGGGTCGAAGTGGGCTCTTTGTTCTTCGCAGCCTTCTCTTCGCATGAGTGAATATTGAGCAGTCGATCATGCGGCACTTTCTGGCAGATGCCACGGCCCGGTTGCAAGAGCTTGAGCGGATGTGGCCAGAGAAAAGCTCCTGAGGGAGACCCAGCGGCCACCGGTGGCAATTTTTGGCTCTAGCACTTTGTGCAGCTTGGGACGGTTTTGGATGGCCCGACGTCCGAGCTGTCACAGTCGAGTCGAGCGGCGAGCCATTCTGGGGCCAAAGACCTCTTTCTCGCCCAGGACATTTTGACATTCCGGGTATGTGTCAAAAGAGGGACTATGTCCAAACGGTTGGGTTCCTTTTGGTCTCATTGAAGAAACCCTTCTTTAGTTCTGCTCCCAAACTGGTAATGCGTCGAATCATGATCACATGTCTCTCCCGATTCGCCCTGGGCCCTCTGATGGCCCTCAGGGGATGCTCATTCCCCCTGAAAGGAATGTCAGTCTATGTTCACATCGCACGGTGAATTTAG